TAAATAATTTATATTTTTTTCTACCCACCCCTTTGGTATTGCTTTGGGTAATTTGGTGGCAAAAAAACCAATTTTTCTTTTAGATAAATGTCAAAAAAAAAAAAAAAAAAAAAAAAAAAAAAAAAAACTCCAATCAAAGGACCTACCTAGCATATAATCACGAGTCCTTTGAGCCTCTCGAGTGAAACCTTGTCCTAGGTACCCGAGTACCTCGAAGTATCACGAGAATAAAAGCATGGCGCGCCTGGATTTGGGTTTCCCAGCCACCTGATTATAATATGCTACTCTGGATTATATGCTCCTTGAATCCCGTATCAACTCCGCGCGAAAGTCTGTTATCACGTATCAGTGCCTAGATGAGCCTATTTTGAGGAATTTGTTGAGTCCCTTAATAGCTCCCTGTTTTCTACGGTGTCAAGTCACCCGTGACCACTTAGATATACTTCAATTAATGCTGAAATAAACTGTATCTGCAAGTTTCGGTGGCAATGAGCTGACAAGCTACTCCGTATTACATGTCTTAGTTGCCTGTTGCTGTCACACGTGTATCGGACAGAAAGCAAATTTGTTCGTTCATTGTTGGTGATATCGAATTGTAGTTGTGTACCGGTCGTCTTTTGAATGATTAAGAATGCTAGAAACCCCAAGCAAAAAACTAGAGGTATGTATTTATAGTAAATTTGAATACATTCACTTCAGACGGCTTAGAGTTCATGTAACAATCAAAGCCCTTGTATGCTCCTATCCTTGGTGTGTTCCGTGACACGATGAAATGTGCTTTACTGATCAGGATTTCGGTAGGCTTACGTGTTGATTTTCCCTGCTAAGACAAAGTTAGATCTTTTTCAACTGATCAAAACGTCCCGGAGGTAGGTACACATCGTATCAACATACATACTTGAGCAAGAGGCGTTCGTATAATATTTGGGTAACCAACTAGTTTATTAGCTGTGATATATGGGTGTAGTTATTTATATAATTGCTAGACTATAGTAAATAAGCCAGTACTTCTTCTTGTATCGATGGAATAATACGGTAATAACATGAGCAGCAAGAACAACACGTATTACATTGTACCATTGCTTCAAACACTGCCGTGCCGTATATAGAGATGTATAATCTAATCTCCCGTTGAGACTGACATGAAATCACAGCAAGAGATATAGATCTTCAATGTCTCGTTTAACTCGATATGTACGCCAGCTGGGCGAGCAATTAGGTAATTGATAATACTGTTGACATTGAAAATATTAACACGCACCGAACCAAAGCATCATAGTCGCCAATGCCACCGGATTCCAACCCACCTAAATAATACTCAGACGTAAACACGCACACTTAATCCATATACCTAAATAGATAAAATACCTCCCTAGAAGGAAGAACAACCAGCGTCATCACACGAACCAACATCTATCTCCCAACCCGAACCACTACATACAGTAGGTAAGTAGCCCTCATCCGCATCGGAAGAACCCGAGAAAAAAAAAGCATCCCAAAAAGAAAAAGAAAAAACCATAAACCTTGAAAAAGATTACTTAACCACGCAGCAAAGTTCCCAGCCCTAGCGTCTAATGTCTCGCATTCATATCATGCGGATATGACACCTGCCTAACCTACTTACCCAGTGCCGCTGCCACCAAGCACCCGCGTGAAGAAAAAAGAAAGAAAGACTAAGCATAGGTACCCTACCGATCATACACGCATACACATAGGTACCTGCAGTACATACCTCGACATCAAGTCCTTTCCCCGAGTTTTCCAAGTAGTAGTCACACATAATATCAGCCCCTTTCTTTTCCTTTCATCAAGCAGCAACCATTCCCTAGCCTCGTCGTGGTTTGATAATGACTCAGCACATAACATGCGCAGAGCCTCATTCCCAAAATAAGTAATTACATACATAGGTACATACTCACTAGATACCTATGGCCCTATGTATGTAATTTACATACTAGTACTGTGAAGCTAAAGCTCAAGGTACATACACATAGTTCATTACGATATTCCAGTGGCGTACCTAGGTACATCTAATTACATACATCCCTTGCCATCCATGAAATCAAACCGGTTCTCACCAAGCAATAACACCTACCCAGGACCAAGGACTTCACGGCTTTGGGTTAACCATTCACTCATAATGTAGGTACAACTTACTATACCGAACAAGTAGCAAAAATATTGCGCAAGCGTGCGTGTCACATATCAACTCCACCACGAGGGAGCTGGAGGTCTATTTCGAGACTTGGACATATCACTCATGCCAGTGGATAAGCAGTAGTTTGAAAGTTGAAAAATGGCACATTAGCATTTGCCTTAATGACGATAATACTCGTCTTCGCTTATCTGTTCCAATACATGGTTTGCTCATACACACTGGATGGGTTTGTTGCCGTCACCTAAACCAGAAAATGCCCCCCCGCCTCCAGTCCTAGTCCTCTCCCTATGATAACAATGAAGAAACACTGTAGTATGAAGAATGAAGAATTTGGATTTTCTTGTAAAAAACGGCAGTGCGAAACGCCGTTGATACAGAGAGAATCAAAAAGACATTTGTAAGTGCAGAAACATTGATATCAACCCGTTTATTTGCAGGCCCTCAAAAACCGTGGGCAAATCCAACAACTCCATCTCGTGCATGAGCTCCGGAAAACAAGACGCGCGCGACCAATAGTGCAAAACCGTTGCCCGTTGTGTTGAGATTCTCTTTGTCCACCGGTTACTCCCAGGAAAAAAAACCGTCCCGAGTAGAAAAAACACCTACACCCCGCCATTTGAGATACCGCATGCCTGCTTGGACCGAACGAAGACCAACCCCTAATCGTCGCAAAACACTCGCTCTATATGTGTATTGGTATTCTTTTCTCGATTGTGTCATGACCCATCATGACTCTTTGATCGTTCCGCTCCCGATGTGAAAAAACCGAAGACTCCGATTGTGTTATGATGAACACCCATGCAAATGGAACAAATGCAGAAACCGCCATGATCAAACGCCCATTCGTGAATTCAAACAGCCCCATCTTCAGCGACGGGACACCGAGTTTTGTACCTGGTATATTTTCCATTACAATCCCAATGTAAAAAAAGCAAGAGGTATCGATCATCTTCATGTAAGAGTCGTACCCATCGCCAACGCGAATTAGCAGTTGCTGATGGGCACGTGTATATGACGAGTAATTATGTTTATACAGGGAGAAAGAGGGGGGAAAGGTGCGATCTAGCCCAACAGACCAGCCCCGCAGTGATTGAAGAATTAAATGATGATGTCGATGCTAATGCCTGTGTCGGTGCCCGCCAAGATGAACCAGCTGTGGAGAAAAGATACAGCGAATGAGCGCTATATAGACGGATCCATATAGCAATGCTCACTACCAAGGATAGACAGCGATAAGAATCGGTATGTCCTCGCTTCTCACTGAGAACGGGATACTGATCTACCACCGTCGACCGACATGGTGCATCCTGGCGGGTGATACAGACGGCGGCGGGCTCGACATTGTCAGACCATTAGCGGGGTTGATGATGGGAATAGCATTGCGCGTCCTTGTAGCAGATGGCTGGTGTAATTTAAGACTCGATTGATGCTGTTGGAATGTTGGAGGCACAAAAGCAGGCGAAGTGGAAGTTAACGTGAAATGAGAAGCGACTTGTTGAGGATGTTGTGTTGGAGAGGCGCTAGGCGACCCGCTCGAGAGGGATGAGCGATCAGAGGAAGCGCTGCTAATGGACACGAGCTGTGCACAAGCACCCGGGTCAGCACCTGGATACAGAACTCACATGGCCGGTAGCATCACAGCTCGATTGTGTTGTTCAAGGGCGAACAGACACTCGGCAGTGGCGAATGGGGCAGACTTACATCACTCTCTGTTAACAACTTGGGGCAGAATTCCATATCGTCTTCGAGGTCGAAAGATCGACTGGCTTCGAATTGTGATCGGAACGCAGACACAGAGGGAGATTCAACGGTCAACTCTCTCATACTCTTGGCTCCACGGAACTGTTTTTGCGAGGTCTGGGGCACAGATACCCTAGGCGCCCTCCTATTCCGCCCACCATGATGGTTGTGCGACACAGCCGAGGGAGTAGCTGCAGTGGGTTGATGATGGGGGTGGTGATGGTTGAAGTTGTTATAGAATGACATTATGAAAAGCTCTTCTCGTTATGAAATACAAGCGACGTGTGACGGAAATAGCGAGCGGCGGACCTGTTGTGGGCGCCGTTGTTGGTGGTGGCGAAGTAGGCAGGCTGGTCGTTGAGAAGCCGTTGGTGGCAGTGGAGCTTTGGGCGATGAGGATGAGGCCGACGATGGGAAGGACTGCGTCGTCGAGTTGCAGCTGTTGGTGGTTGTGGTTTGGGGGCGTTATGTTTGGGTCGCTTGCGGGTGGGCTGCGCGGGTCAAGAGGTCAGAGCAGCAAGCGTTGTGCGGTATTAAATGCGGCGTTCAGCAGGGCCAACAATGGAACTTGACGAGGCGGCCAAGACGGAGGCGAGTCAAAGAGCTTTTTGAATTTCCGAGTTTTTTTGGTAACGATTTTTGATTTAATTTGATTGATTTAATACTGCATAGACAGACTGAGTATGAACAGTGAACAGAGAATGGAAGATGACGGGAGAGTCACTAAGTATGTATGTGAGCGTGTGTGTATGTACGTTGTATGCAGAGGATGGTGGTGCTGGCGGTGGTTGGCTTGTGGGCGGCAGTGTGTGTGACAGGTGTGGTAGGATCGATTGAGTGGGAGAGAGAGAAGGGGGAACGGCTGAATTAGGTTGAGTCGGGGGTCGGAGATGGTGAAGGATTTTGTTGAACAGAGAGAAGCTCAAGAAACCGAGAAGAGGGCGGGCGGGGCCTATGGCCTATACTGTACTGAGTACCTACTTACCTAAGTACACTCTGCTGTGGCCTGTAGCCAGCCAGTACTACATAGTATGTAGGTAGGTCAGGTAGGTATGTACTATGTACTGTAAGTAGTAGGGGAACGGCAGGGGGCGATAGCAGGGGTGGCAATAAGTACAGTAGGTAGGGCCAAAAGGGGCCAATAGCGACCCGCGACCCGGACAAGGGGCCATGCACATTGCTGAGTTGCCTCAGTGGCCCTTTGCTGGCTCCAGCGGGCTGTGACTGGCTAGGGCCGACAGCCCTCGGCATCCTGGCCCTTGAGTGTCCATTATGTATCCCAACGCGGCTTAGTCTGGTTTAGGCGGGTTTAGGAAGTTGCATTGGTTTGCTGCAACAATAACACTATGCGACCAATCAGCGTCTAGTCGCCACAGCCATCCACCAGCACTAGCGCTAGTGTCCATAAAAGTATCCACTAGGCCATGAGACATGATTGGACTCCTCTCCAAGCGCGAGGTCATTCGTGGGTACTGTGGGAGTGGGCGTGGCAATCCCTGGCCGTGTGCCGTTGTCATGCTGCTGCTACCTAATTACTGTGCTAAGTTCTTACGGTAGTCGGGTGGTGCAGTCTTACTTCGAGGTAGGTACTGTCCAACATTCATCATTCAGATACTACTTACTACCTTAGGTACTGTATGTACTACCTGGGCGCTCATACGCCGGTTAACAACGCTACTCCTACCGGTATGCAGCTAGCGTGGGTGCTGCTACCTAGGTATCTTTACCTATACAGGTATTGCATTACCTATTCTACAGTAGATATACTCCGTACGGAGTAAGTATATGAATGCACAAATCTACATAATTCGTCCTGCCTAGCCCACACAGTAGGTACGTACTGTACACACACTCCATCACGGCCTGGGATAGCGGTCGTTGGTCGCAGACCGCCCCTTGAGCTATTGTTTATCCCATTGGTACGAACACATCCATATGTACTTACTTTCAGGTAGGTATAACTGCCAGTGTATTAACACGTACTTACCTACTTACAGTACATACTTGTTGGGAGCGAGGTGGGGCGTATACACCACTCGGTAATGGGAGGCACTTGCTGTATGGGCGCCCAATTGCGTCGGTTAGCAGCGAACACATGTATCTCGTTCCACCCATCCTTACTCGGGATACACGATCTCGCAGGAACAATTCATTCATTCATCCAGGCCATCTCACCTTGTTGTCTGTACATACCTATTTACGCTACCTACAGTACTTGAAATGTGCAGGTGCAGGTGTACCTATTGTCCTGGCCAGCAATGCAGTGTGGAGACTTAGCGATCCCTTTACCGTAAACGGGCCTGCTGATGACGATGACTCAAAATGCCACGGCACTCCGTAGGTGGACGGACAGGTGTGCACATGCCTGCTGGCTGTTTAGGTGTAAGCAGGTGTACTCTGTTGTGTGAAAACACCAATGCAATTCGCTCATAACCTGATTGATTTTTGCTCGTGAGGTGTTTCGCGAGTCGTGGGAGGCCAGATGTTGTGGGTATCAGATCGATGGTGGGCTGATTCATCTTCTCCGCGATCTCGGTGCTTCGGTGACTCTCCCTTCCATCATTCGACATTCGACAGCGATTCCCAAGTCGCGAGCACATGCCCCGAGATGTGAATATGGCATTGTACAGTGATGCGCCGGTCTCCGGTTGGGGCGGCGATACCTCGACATCTCAGGTCAGGTACCTTACACCTGATCCCAGGCTACCAGTATTACTCGCAGGAGCCGAGCTAGCATGTACCTAGCGTGCTTACAGTACTGAGAGAGTATCTCTACCAAATCTGGGTTGACGCTCCTTTCCGCCAAGTCAGACGGCGTCTGTGCTTTAACTGTCCATCGTGACCCCAGATTTCTGACCCTCAACAAGGTCCTGAATGTTGCAACCTGATGCGCCCCCCTTTTGCCGTTCACCACTACTTGCGCACCTTGGTCCTGATACCAGGGCTATGTTCTGTAGATCCTAGTGGAAGCGGTGGTATGTCGAGTGTGCACTAATGTACGCAGTACTGTACGCAATATGTACGTAATCTCATGGACTGATTCTGGACTATTGTTGTCTCTCTGAGGTGCAGTATTCAACCTGCCCTTGGAGGCTATATTCAGTTCTAGGCGCAGTCCTCGGGATGATGCAGTGCTCTGTCGTCTGCCATATCATTGGATGTATAGTGTCCAGAAGAGAGGAATGACCTATCTGGCCTATCATGCCATATCGAGGAATCGTCCAGCAGAGAGTCAAGGTCGCAATTGCACCACTCCTACTCGTCTCCGCATAATGCAGGTGTGAGGCAGTGACCAGTTGAACCCTGGCTGGCCCTGGTTCGACCATTCGGCTCGCCGTCTGTCTGAACTGGGTCTGAGCTGGGTTTCCCTGGCTGAGTGACCGAGCGTGGTACAACGCCGATCCGTTATCTACAGCGTATACGGTTCAAGAGAGGTATCTAAGGCTGGGACAACCGTTATGCAGAGAAGTCCATCGAATAAATCCTTTCCCAATACAAGGAATACGTTCAAGCGTGCACGGGTAGATAATATTATACCATATCATATAACACCTTGCTTTAATATGAACTATTATTATACATAGATGATGAATTGTGGCGTTGCCTCAGTCTGATGTTCCTACTTATTGAATAATTGTCTCGGTCGTGAATTTGTTCGACAGAAATATGATAGACTGACGTAAACTTCACCTGATCATTTGAAAGTTATCGTTTAAGCTTAGTTCACCTGACACCTCAAATCATTATTTCTTTACCCTTGCCTCGCAGATATCATAGATCTTGAAGTGCCGTGTCTGGAATGAAGTGGTGAGAATGGGTTAGGTATGCTCTAAGCTGACATCTTCATCTCCGTCTCCCCCTCCCGGAGTGTTACTTGCATCTGCTTACCTGTCCACTAATAAGTATACCTACGTACCTGACTACTCCTGTAAGAGGTTGGGAACATTATGTACAGCAGTACGCCGTAGTAGATACCGAATGCCGTTTGGGTGTTACCTAAGTAAATTCCGCTGTTCGCCCTGCATTCCATTCTGATGCAAGTTTCAGCCCTTACGATTCAAGAGAATGCCAGAAAGAGCTGGAACCGACCAAAGCGGAATGGCATGTTTCAAGTTCCGACTTCGACACAATATGGCCCAGACATGATCGTCAACTTTCCGGCTATTTAAGCATGCGTAGTATTACATATCCGCACTACCATGGCTATTGCATGCAATTGGCAAGGCGCGCCTATTACCGGTACGTAGGGCGAAAAGGTGATAGAACAGCAGAAAAGTAGGGAGAGCCAAACGCCGTGAAACCCCGTCGTCGCCCGCTTGATGATGGCGTTATATCGTTGCCACCACCACCACGATGATCGAAGGGCCTGGTTCTAGGATACTGCTGCAGGTTGATGTAACAGCAAAGCGCGCGCGCCTTATTCAGTGGCTGGTGGCTTGTTCAACTGACTCCCTGAGATACCCTGAATTGCCGCCCTACAGTAGTGTGTCGGCTGCGGCCTGCGCTGCGCTCTGCAGGTCACCGGGTGACAGCCCCCCTCTCCTCCTCGATCAAAGTAGATTCCCTTCGAGCCCCCCCTTCCCTTCCCCTCACACTTGGAAATAGAAACCAGAACTGGGCGTGGGGACCCTTACGGGCTCGGACAAGCCGGGTGGTCCAATCCGGACGGCTGGTCACGAGCGATTGCATGTTGGGTGGTACGTTCCAAGCCCGAATCTTGCAGATCGTCAAGTTTTTGTTGGAAGTGAGGTAGTACCGACGACATTGTTGTTGTCTGCTATCGAATCCTCCACTATGCCGCTTCTTCGATTTACTATAGCATACAGTAGTACTTTCTATATTCTTATGAATTAAGACTGCTGACTATGAGGCCATGTCTATCTATCAATAATCTACCCATGGTGAGGGAAATATGCAGGTAGGTAGATCTAACTACACTAAATCTACGTACATGGAAGTACGTCGGTGCTTACTATCAATGGTAGAAACCGGAGACTTTTGGCCCACTTTTGCCGCTTGCCTGACGACAGTGCCGCCGTGTGACGAAAGCGGCAAAAAATGGTAACTAGGTAGCTACGACATCCCCTGACAACAACTCCAATGATTCCGATCCGGTGTCATGCTATTGCGTTGGATTTCAGCTGTCTCGTACTGCACGTGGTCTTTGAGTCATGCCAGAGGAGGTTCTGTTGACGAGTACTTTGAGTTAATTGATCTTAATACCATACTATCTTTGTAACTCAACTGTCTTACAGCCGTACCTGCATTCTTAGGTTGTCTCAATAGTACTACTAAACCTTCTATTATAGGCCATCTGAACTACACCTGTTCACCCTGACTAAGGGTTAGACCATTTTTGAATGGAATGAAAACCAAATGCAAAGGGAACGGTCGGTTGCTAGGGAAGCATATACTGAGGGTCATACGTATCATAACTGTATTCCAATCTTCAAAAACAACTCGCGGTACAGGAGCTCCAATACAAACGTTATAGTGAAATTATTAGTTAAAATCTTCCGCAGCAAGAGGAAGAAATAATAGATATGATATCATGTTTAATAACGTTGGCTGTTTATGTTGAAATTTGCGTATGTCTAATAATGACGCCAGCAGGTATGCCCCTAGAGACAGTAGGTTACCACATGTATGCCTCTCAAATCAACAATGTATCGTGAATCTTTAACTTGGTTAATAACACTAGCTACTTGATTAGCATCGTCACACTTGTTGGAGGCTATGGGGGCCGGCAGGGACTTTGACACCACGGCTTATATGTTGGCTGATGACCCTCTTTGTATAGAAGGAAGTCCATTATCATCAACATAAAATCCAGGTAAATTCAAAAAAACTTTTGAGATGTTCCTCAAGCATCTACAACCGGTGCCCCAAGGCGAGGTCATGTCTCTCAACCCCATGTCTAAGACATAATTAACTAATAAAATCACAAGAGCCGGAGTCAAACACTCATGATGTACGGTTCTACCTTATACGAATTGAATGTTAGAAAAGTCTTCACACTGAAAGACTGTATAAATCAAATATCTTCTGCCTAAAGGCCGTCGCAGAGATTCTAAACATGCTCAACGACTAAGCATTGTCACGGAGCAGGAATATGACGCTGAACTACGATACTACCAAGAGATAGATAGCTGTAGAGTCGGGAACATGGCTGTTTACACGTTATACATGCTAGTGTGAAAGAGAATGTGTCGTTGAAGCAGCACAGACTATGCAAGTTATGTTCAAGGCTGGTTTTAGTAAGTAAGTAGAGTAGGAATTATCCGCGGCCGCGCTGACCTTGTACTTGTTTCACTAGCTGCTTGCGCATGTTGGTGTCGCGATCTAGGGTTACAACAGGCAAACTCTTTGTATATAGCTTTGTGTAGACATGAAGACTTCCAACCCTTCATGCAACAGAAAATATCACACAGTAATCATCCTCACGGGGGCTGTCCTTACGTTTAGTAAATGTAACTAGAGAATATGCCTCCTACTAGCATAAGGACGACGTGTTAGTATCTTGAGTTCCAACTACCGAGTCATGTTGCTGGTAGGCATTATACAACATGGAGGATGATGAGAGTGGATATAAATGTGATGAGAGCAAGTTGGCGGATGAAACTGCGAAGCAATGGTCAGACCAAGTCATGAGAGTTGATATTCACTTATGACTAAATTGGGGTTGTTATTCAGCAATGTTTGATCAGGTTGCCTGGTATTTCCCCCATGAACAGCGAACCGCATTTATCTGGATATTTATGCATGAACTCTATTGACGTGAGTTGTATTTCTCGTCTAATTACTAGACACCCACGAGGCTAGCTCCTCCTTACTACCCCTTAGGTCACAAGTTTTGTTGTTCAGTCGCATAACTCACCTCCCCTGTTAGATCATTTGCAATGAAGCAAACAGCCAAGAACAGCCAAGCATTCTGGTATGTGTGTGTGACACTATTCGCACGCATTGTGCTACGTGATACAGGCCTAGAGAACCGGCGGGCTGGCCGGATTGACCCCTTGCATTGCGCTCAGTCAGCAGCAACATGGCCACTATTTCTCAGATCTAGATATCTGGCACCCTCAGACAGTTAACCGTAGTACAAGTCACACAGACCTGAATTTGCGACAGACATCTGACCTAGTCCATTTGTTTGGAACGAGACTGGTCTTGGATTGACTGCAAGCGCAGGAGACCTGGCAGAGAGGATAGAATAGCCAATGGCCAGCAATTCCTTTTTCGGAGCATCTCGTCTACCTGTATCGAGCATACCTCCGTATCTCGAGGTGCCTAAGGCTTATCAAGTCCCCTTGCCTTTACGAAGCGATTGATCTGCTCCCGAGTAATTTTGTCATTGTACTGCTCATGACATTCATAAAATGATATTAGCTCTTGGGTGCAGTCGGCCATCCCTTCAATGTCGACGTTGCTCTCAGTAAGGAAACCTGCGTAGCGTTGAACTTTATTTAATCGGGCTTCTTGTTGCCTCTCTTTCTCCGAAACACCGGACGCATTTTGGTTCGCATTGCTACCACTAGCTCTAGACGATGCTTGCGCCTGTACTTGTGCTAGTGCAGCAGTTGCAGCAGCCATACTTGTTGCCGTTCCACCAGGACTATTGGGACGTAAAACAAGGGCTAGTAGAATCGCCGTGAGGGCTATTATATGAGGTGGGTAGAGGAGGGGAAGGTCGGTCATGTAGTGGTCGTTGATAATAGATAAAGCAAGGTTGGATTCATCCTGAGACAAGAACAGATCTGACTGAAGGTTTGTAAGGGTCCGGTACGGTTGGTGGACAATCAACTGCGAATGCATCTCGGATATCATGAAGAATTCGCATTCTCCGAGTCGTGATATATCAAGAGTCAGGGAATCTACTACATAGCCAAAAGTGCTGTCTGTCAGCTAAGACCACTAACTCAATAGACCGGGTAAAGGAAGTCACTCGTACCAGGCCACAGAGACCGCGCTTCTGACACAACCAGCCTGATATGCTGGGGGCACTCTTCCATCTTGCAAGCCAAGTATAGTGCGGTCGCGATGACAAGGTAAGGGTTCGTTCGGCGGATTTCGACTGTGCAATAGAAGCGCTTGAGATAGGTCTGAGCAGTTGCAAGAGCTTGCTGTCTGACACCGAGTCTCTTGCCAAGCCTACCCAGTTCTGAGACACAAGTGAGAGAGGTCAGTAAGCAATATCTCCTATAAGGCTCTAGGGCTTTGGATGGTTTGACCTCACGTTGATTGAAATATATATTGAGGTGCCTTCGCTGTGGCAAGGGGAACATTTGTACTAAGCTCTGCTCGCTCTCCTCCAGCTTCTCCCGCATTTCTGCGAGTTCATCCTTGGAGAACTGCCAATGGCGTCGCTGAGTTGATTCCCAATAGTTTGCAGCCATGTTGATCTAGTCGGCAATTCCTGGCTGTAATGTGTTAAATAAGGCTTGGGACAGAGAATTAGCCAGATCAACAGTTATCGTGATGGCATATCGGTGGTTACATCCACAAACGCCAACTCAGCCAAGCTGAATCAGCAACCCTTCCGAGCTCGGCACAAGTAATGTTGGCTGCGACAAAGAACCAGAGTAATGAAGAAATACAACTATGTCCAGCACTAACATGCAAACTTGAGGGAAATCGGAATATCTGCCCGCAGTAACCAAACACTCCCCAAGAAGGGAGAGGGGTTTGTCCTGTGATGCAGTCCTCAAAGACGCCTCAGGCACTATCACATGAACCCTTTCTTGTTAGCGCTGATTACATGATTACATGTACAACATGACATGGATCATGTCTGTGAGGAAGGCTCGACACAACTGCACAAGGGTTGGTTCTGATAATGTATACAAGTAGAAATGTGTACCGTGTGCTAGTGCAAGAAAAGGATACTGTAGAACCACAGTCAACTGCTCACCTCTATACCGTGCTTATGTGACGTAAGGCACAGTGAAGGCACTCCTTCCTAGGTACCGCCTCTTTCTGCTCTTCCACTCGAGGGCTTATCGGGCTTATCGCCTTGCCGGTGCCGCCAATTGGGCTTGAGCTACCCGGTATTCGCAATTGTGTCTTTGGAGAACCCTGCAACTCCTTCTTGGCATATCTGATGGTGAAGCAATGCCTCTTTTGCGCGCAAAGCTTGAAACCTTGTGAACCCGTGCACGCAACCGACGTCGGCCGAATCTCTACAGCCTGCGCCCGCGAGGGAATGCGCTCCGATGCGACTGGCGTGAATGCGATCCAAGATTCGAATGCTCTGTACAACAATGGTCGAATCATAGTCCCAGCCAGCTCCCCGTGTTCTTCCATGTTGTCATGAAACACTCAATATGAAGCGCCCCAACTTGGTCACCGAGCTGGAGATGGAGATGGCCGAATCGCAGAACGAGCGCGATGCTCGTGTCGAGGAGCTTTGGAAGAAGCTCGACTACCAAGGCAAGGGCGAACTGGACTGGAAGGGCCTGCAGAAAGGGCTTAAGAAAATGGATCATCGTCAGTAGTAGCTTCCTACCACCCCATCAAAGAGCGCGCCTTTGCTGACATTGCTCTTCCAGCCCTAAAAAACGCCGATAACATGCTTAAGACTCTCACAAAGGCCGTAGACACTGATGGCGACGGCAAAATCCAGTACGAAGGTCTGTTCACACCCATAAAAACTGCCCCATCCAAGATGAAGCATCATCCGCCCGACCGAGATCTTGCATACTTACCCCTAGCTAACAAATCCACCCACAGAGTTTCGTATCTTTGTCGAAGCAGCTGAACGCCAGCTTTTTCATCTCTTCCGATCCATCGACCGAGACAAGAATGGTAAACTTGACAAGGAGGAGCTCCAAGCCGCATTCCATAAGGCTGGTTTAGCGGTGCCTAAACGTAGATTGGATGCTTTCTTTGCGGAGATTGACCACAATCATGATGGATTCATCACTTATGAAGAATGGCGGTAAGTTAATTTTGGGCGATTTTTGCTCCTTTCCCACCTGTCACAAAGAATGCCGGTGCCCGTGAGCAATATGGTATGAACGGGCTATTAGCTGTTCAGTTAAGCATTGTCTCTCACTCCTATATGCGGGAGTCACAAGCTTTGCCTTGACAATATTAGAAAGATGCTGATAAATCTTGCTACTAGGGACTTTCTTCTCTTTATGCCCAATACTGATTCTCCAGCGACTTTACACACAGTTTTCACGTTTTATTCAGACATCCTTACTCTCAGTTCAGAAGGTGACTCCGTTATGAGCGAGAAATCCCTTGAGGGAATAGGTACGGCTACAGGCTTCTTTCTGTCCATATTTTTTGGTTCAATTATTAGAATCGCTTTTCCCAATTGGCAGCCCTCAGGGCAAGCCCCTGAGGCCTCTGACTCCTCCCTTTCTCCATCACTTACTTCGCAACTTCCATCCTTGCCCGAATCCGATTCCCACCCGCAGTCACCAGCACCGGATGTACTGCGAGCGACCGATGACCCCGGCGAAGTTAACCCAACAGCTCCACAACCTTATGCTCTAGTACCTGGTGCTGCAACCGTGTCTGGGCTATCTTCTGACACGTCTGATGCGGTGCGAGGAGCAACGCTGGCTGACCTTTCCACTTCTCAAGACAATCAGATTGAAACTGCAACGCGTGACAAGGTCAAGAAATCCGTGCTGATAAAATACATCCCCGATCCAGGCTATTTCATTGCCGGAGCCGTTGCGGGAGGCATTTCTCGCACTGCAACCGCTCCTCTCGATCGACTCAAAGTGTATCTGTTGGTCAATACCAAATCTGACGCTAATGTGGCCTTCGACGCTGCCAAGAAGGGTCGACCCATCCAGGCTCTCAAGAGTGCTGGACGACCACTTGTTGCCGCTTTAAGCGATCTATACAAGTCTGGAGGTGTAAGAGGGTTTTTTGCTGGTCAGTCAATATTTCTAACAACCCAGACACACCACCTCATCTGATGTGATTGAATAACTAGGCAATGGACTCAATGTCGTCAAGATCATGCCAGAGACAGCAATCAGAGTACGTACATCTTCCATGTCATAGTTACAAAACTGAGGCTCATATTTTTGTACCTAGTTTGGAGCATATGAGGCAGCCAAGAATACTTTAGCAGGACTTGAAGGCCATAATGATCCGCATTCAATCAACCCTTATTCAAAGTTCGTTGCAGGCGGTGTTGCCGGAATGGTTGCACAGTGAGCACTCTCTTGCGACATTGACTGACACTAATGCTGACTTTGGCGTAACTAGGTTCTGCGTCTATCCTCTGGACACGCTCAAGTTTCGGTAAGCAATGTCTATTGCTCTGCTGATTTTTCCTCTGTTGACAAGATTATCAGTCTGCAATCCGAGTATGTTTCTGGTGGTGCACGAGGCAATACGTTATTATTACAGACCGCTCGAAAGATGCTCGCAGAGGGAGGTGCTCGAGCAGCTTACCGTGGCGTTACCATGGGTTTGGTTGGCATGTTTCCCTATTCGGCAATTGATATGGGTACGTTCGAGTTTCTGAAAACAACCTACATCTCCTACAAAGCAAAGGCATCCGGCTGCCATGAAGAAGATGCGCAACCTAGCACGTTTGCCACGGGAATCATGGGGGCCTCATCAGGCGCCTTCGGTGCCTCGGTTGTCTATCCTCTCAACGTACTCCGTACCCGACTTCAGACCCAGGGCACTAGCATGCATCCGGCACGCTACACTGGCATCTGGGATGTGGCACACAAGACTGTAAGAAATGAGGGCGTCCGAGGACTCTATAAAGGATTGATGCCAAATCTTCTCAAAGTCGCACCCGCGCTTAGTATCACGTGGATGGTATATGAGAACACAAAGAAGATTATGCATCTTCACTAGAGTATCTTCCTGCTCTGGTACGGGAACTTACTAATATGTGATCGCTCTATCACAACAGCGCCTACGGCCACATCTCCTTATCGGATCCAAATCATTCTTACAGTTTAACCACTCATGTCCGTTACGAACAGCAGACATCCCCTTCCAACATTATAACTATACTACCATTAGAGCATAGATACCGGACGAGACATGACAACAAGAGGCATTCGGTTTAACAGAGTTACGGAAATAGTCTACATTGGCTTGCATTGATTGGCGTTTCAGGATCTTCTTCCTGTTGACCTAGGTAATTTTTTTCTGATTTTTCCGGGTCATTATTGATCATCACAGGTCATCACAAGGGCACTTGAAATAGAGGGATGTGGAGATACCCTTCTGTGCACGGTTGGTTTTATTTGTGAGCCTCGATGTCTCATTTGCTGGTGCTTATAGTGAGGCCGGCTTTTACACGCAAGGATACACATGTTGTACAATAAATGTGTTGGCATTGAAACATTTGGCGAGGTCATGGCGATGATTGTTACTCATGTCGACACGGTTTGCCGATAGTTTTGGCTTTCTAGCTTTGTCCTATTTAGCAACTAGGTCTTCGAGTCAATAAACGAAATTACTGATTAATATCGAGCCTTCAATGAGGAGAGAGAGATGATTAAGGGCTAAGTCCAAGAATGGATACGTGTTAATTCCCGTAGCAATGCTGAGCTTGTCCACTTGATAAATGATGATAGTCGTCGCTCATACGTATCTCGAAGTTAATCTGGCTAATAATCAGTCCCAATGTAGGAACTATATTTACCTGCGATTCTGACTATTATCGCGTTAGCGGCATGGTCAAGTCGCCTGCCATGGCATGCCATCATATCGCTCACAGTCCCGAGACTAAACAGTATAAAACTACCTAGGCGCACGAAATACTTGTGTATAGGAGAGCTCATGGCTGAGTTACGCTCGATTATACCTAGTGCTTGCTTCCTGCCCGACATGAGGAATTACCTATAGCCTCAAGGGGTCATAGTAAGGCGTGTTATGACGTAGATTCCGGGAAAGGGGTATAGCCGAAGGAGCTGGGGCTCCGAGAATGTGACGATATTACTTGCAGTTCGATCACGGGGGTGTATCGGCAGGCGGTACACGGGCGGCGAGGCGACCATCGCTAGCAATGGTAATGACAATGGTTCCTGCCAACCCCTTTCGACTGTGAAATGCCTTCCGTTTCTTGCGTGATGACATTTGTTTACCAAAATAAACTGAAATACTAATATCTAGGCTGGCCGTCTACTCCGTGTTTACATTCTCTCCTCTCTTCTTCCAATATACACCATCGTCTGTCTCTTTTCCAACATCCATACTATTATCTATCTCTCTTCTAAAAAAAAACAATTATATCATCTCTAAACTCGTCATTACCAACTCCATTTGTTTATCTTGGAGAATTAGCCCTTTGTCATACATTGAGGCAGAATTATCTACCTAGAGTCTGCATATAGCAGCGATTCGGCATTCATTGACGCGTCGGGGAACAATCTTCTTGGATCCTTGTTTCTTCAAAATTCATCTTCTTATCAATCAATCATCCATCCTATCATCATTCCTTCATCTCTTTATCTGCTATCAGCCATGGTTCGTACATACCAATCCTCATGCCCATCAGTAACCTTGTGCTTATCGTGGATAACAGGCTACAGTTATTTTCTAAGCGAGAAATTCGTCAACAGTCAATGGACGACATTGGTAAGCAATCCACCTTCTCGTAACGAGAAGTAAATGCCTACCCCCAGCGTCAGTGAGTGGTCCTTGTCTTAACTCTAGACAACAGGCCCGAATCATTTCTCGGCCATAAATTTATGGAAAATGAACGGTTGACTATGGAGATGCAGTCAATATTTTGATAGCCCACAACAAACCCACGCCTACGACTGCGGTGTTTTCGTCATCACAAACTCCATATGCCTTGCACTCGGAATAGACCCTCAATGTTATAAGGAAAAGGACCTCACTAACTAACAGCTCTGTATTACATCTGTGTTATTAAATGGAGGATTTAAAAGGGGAGTTCTGCTTAGCAGATCTGTAATATCTTTATCACTGCGATTACTTGGAGGAGGGACGGTTGATGGGATGGGGGGTGGCCTTGGCTCTAGTCCTGGAACTATTATGTTATAATGAGCACGCGTTCCCGTCAACACAGCGATTGTGTATAGCAGTTCATTGGCCGATAGCTTTATGGGATTGTTTGATATATGCCTCTCATTATCGTGTCTCGTCAGGTATCGTGCTTTACCATATATATGAGCTAACTGGTCTGATCATGTGAGGGCTTAGTGATACGTTAGATCATTTTTATACTCAATTCCATAGGGATCGAATGTGTTCACTGTACCTACAAGAAGCTGGTATGGCTGTCAAATTAACATGGTTCATTTAAGTCACTTCTGTCTACATCAGTAACCTTAGTCTCTATACACAATTGGATCCATGTCCCAACCTTCAAGGTCACACATACGCCGTCTCGGCGCGGTTATCGCGCGTCACCAACTAGGGGTTTCAAACGATGCTGTGCCGACATGAATTTAATTGTTGCCCTACGACAGCAACACAATCATATCACATATATTCGGGAGATGGGACGCTATTTTGGGTGGAACGGGTTTATATCATAAAGGCTATTCTAACAATACATCATCGTCCCACTCTCTAATCGCAGTGATATATATATTACTGACCTGCTAAGCATCGTGCCACTCTCTAATCGCAGTAATATATATATTACTGACCTGCTAAGCATCGTCCCACTCTCTAATCACAGTAATAAATATATTATCGATCTGCTGAGCATCGTCCCACTCTCCAATCGCAGCAATAAAGATACTAAAGATCTGAGAGGCTGAACTCCCCTCTAAAACCTCCGTTCAATAAGACAGATGCCAGACGTAATCTTTGGGTTGGCAAATCCTTTTCTTCATAGCATTTTGGGTCTATTCCCAGCGCAAGGCATATAGAGTTGGTAATGACAAAAACTCCGCAGTCGTATGCATTCGTCTGTTGTGGACTATCAAAGTATGTCGTATGCCATTCTGATTCCACGAAAATAGGTCCTAAAAATAAACTTAACCATTCATAGGCATATCGGACCTGTAGTGGGTTACGGCTGTGGAAGGAATCGATATATGAGACGGTTCTGAGAGATGGTCGAATAACAATAAGGGTCCAGTGAGCCTGCAGATTGACAGGGATCAAGACGGTATCGATATTAAAGAAGTTGTCTGGATTCATGCCCCATTTTCGACTGAACAGACGCGGATAGAGCTTCTTGTGGTCGCCAGAGAACGCGGTCCAGTATAGAGACGAGACGGCAACACACTTGGGGGGGTCAACTTTGGGCTTAACACCAGCCTTGTCGTTGATATAAGCTGCAAGACAACATAGAGTAGAGTGAACGCAGTCATCATTAAGCCAGGCCGTTGGTGGGACAAGCTTAGCGAAGTCTCTCGGTTTGAGCTCGACAGCATCCGGATGGACAGTGGTAGGGTTGAAGTGTCCATTTCTGGGCGCGTCCAAGGCTCGCCCCTTCCACTCAGCGGAAGGCTCACGAATAAGAGTGGACTTGGGTCGACGGACGCCGAGACGTAAGAGAGCGGCATTCTGTGATGCAATCTCTTCCAGGCGCACGCGCTCCCTAAACTCCCTTTTTAGATGCTCAACCTTATCAGCATCAGCAGGGAGGTCTTCGGCACCAAGACCAGGTAAAGAATGTGAAACATCATTGGGAAAGAATTCCAAGACGTCATCATATATAGTTGACTCGGGTGACTGTACCATGCCAGCATGATCGAATGTCGTCGGCTCCTTATCCCCACGACGAAGACTCTCAATGGGACGCCGTCCCAGATTAGCACTGCCACTAGGTCGTCTGATAGGCAACTCTTTGGGAAACCGCCGCACAGCTCTACGAGCAGCGGCCACCGACGGGCTGCTTTGATTTCCAGCCAAAATAGCTTCCTTCGAATTTAAAGCTATGGGCTTTCGGTGTTCTGACTTTAGAATTGAACGAGGATGTCCGGGCTGAAGCTCGGGAGCCGGTTTAGTCTCAGTCCTTTGAGAGACTAGGTGCTCAGGAGAATCGATCAGCATAGGACTACCTGCATAGTCTTCCTCTTCATCTTCACTGTCAGATGCATACAGCGCATCAAGAGAAAAGTGGCCGGCATAATTGAAATCAGGATTCAATTGGTTGCTGGTGGCGAGGGAGGATTGAGGTCCAGATGATGGGGGGGTTGCACGTAACGGTCCTGGGTCAGATCGTAGACGTTTTGGAGAGCGTGAGATCACATTCTCAGCAGTCGGTGTCACCGCGGCAGTGACACTGGTCGTAGCGACTGCATGTGGTGGGTCTGGGTGTTGTGGTTCCTGTGCCGTTTGATCAGGTGGAACGAGTCTCCATGGTGCATTTCGGGAAGCACCGAGAACAAAGCTAGACAGGTTCCCGAAGAAGGAGAAAATGCCTCTGGCGTGGGTAGAGAGAAAACCAGGGCTGCCATCTTGAGCCTGTTGACGACGAGGAGTAGATGCAATAGTTGTAGCAGGCACGTCATCCAGTTCATCAGCCCACGAGGGCCAAGCGCCGGGCATGGAGAGAAGTTTCTCGTTGAAAGAAGCACTGGTGGCAGCCTGAGATGTCTCCAAAGCTTCCTGTCTGATAAGATCTGCATTCAAAGTCCAGAAGTCCGTTTCTGCTTGCTAAGCAGGTTCGTCTTCGGACACCTACAGGTGTGAGCGCAGGTGGTTAGCATCATGCACAAAGTAAGAGAGGCAAAGTACCTGGCCAAGAGCTAAAGGCGGCAGGGGCGAGTGAAGTGGGGGAGGGGTAGACTTACTGGACTAACTTGAGTATGGTTAATGTATCCAGGAAACTGACCAGGAACGTAGTACTGAGCTGGTTCCGGTGTGCTCGTGCAAGTGACGGGACGCTTTCTGGTAGACGCTGGGCGAAGTTGACCCGAAGCTGAAGCTGCCCCCGACAGGCCGAGGGCCTATTACACACGCTGGAGTCAGTAATTGCCGGATAGAGAAGGGGTTCAGCTCATATTTCGGGGGTTATGCAGGAGTAATGAGGCCCGAAAGCTGCCTAAAGGGTAAAAATATAACTACAGAGAACTAACCTGGGTGGTGTTGGAGCCGCGAAAATACGGGACTCGAATAGATGTATATCTATACTGCTGTTCTTCCTGGTAAAAGCTGGGGAGTTGACGATCAATAAGACGTGGGCTGTTCCGAAGAGTCAGCGATGTCCAAGCAGGCGTGGAAAGATTGCAAGAGTAGGAAGGGGTAGGGATAGGAGCAGGAGCAAGGAGCAGAACGCGTCCACTTGGGCGGCTCGCGGCTTCAAAACATGTTGCAGGACGGACTGGCGGAAGGATGGACGAAAGACACAAGTTACTAACCTAACGATGATATTGCGGCTTCTATATAAGATAGATTCTGAGCGCTCGAGGATTGAAGCGTCTGTATGCGCTTGTCTCTCGGCTTTTCGAGTCTCGATAGCTCGATAGATGTTACAAGATTCGCAGGACAAATAATGGCCGGGGTCCGTCCAGGAATGAAGATTCCGTGGAAGAGGACGCGTGTGAATTCTCTCTCTGAATAAAAGAGACATGATGTCAATTCGAGGGTTCAAATGAGTCAAATGAGGATGGGAAGAACGATGATGGGAAGTCAGATGTGATTGCTTTGGCTGTGATTGATTGTATGTGTACGAAACGCGGTTGCTTTGCTAGACGAAGACGATTCAAATGTGTGATGAAGATGGGAAGGAGAAGGAGGAAAAAGCGAGAGCTGGGGGGGAAGAGGGCCCTTTTATGTGCCGGCGGGTCAACAGGGCGGACGAGAGCAAACACGCGGCGAGATTAAAGTTGAGCACACGTTTTCTCATTTAGGCAACGGTAAACAGAGACATCTAAACTCACCGAAGCTGGGTCTACGTCATTGAAGCTAAAATTGTATGCGCAGGCTGCTCGTGCTCGTAGGGTTCCGGAGAGAAGAGCCTAAAAAGAGCAGAACAGTATGCGATGATGAAGTGAGGCTTCTGACAGGTCGCAAAGGGAGGATTTGGAGATTTTTGAGGTTGGCACAATGTAGGCGCCAGATCGCCCTAAGCGCGCAACCGCGGCGAGCGCAAAGTGCTTCCTTGCCAAGCTGGGGGGGGCTGCCAGGGCACTAAGACAGCTGGAGGCCACTAAAACATGGAGCCGGGGGTTACCTACTTAAGTAAGGAGGTACCTACAATAGCTACCTGGGTAGTTAGTGGGTGGGTACCTAGGGAAGCTCTTCTCCCAGAGGCCAGCGTGTAGCTTCTCACCAAGAAGAAGCCAATAGGTACATACACCGGGCGACTCAGCTTAGAGCTCGGAGTACCTAATTCAAATATACTTAAGGTACTTCAACGTTTGTACCAACATTGCTCTCACCCCTCCTCTGCCCTCCCTTATTGCGTAGGTACCTGGTGTACATCTAGATGCGTAGGTAGGTAATCTTCGCCCAAAGCGGAAATGCGCCAGACGGCCATTATTTCGTAATCGGCTGTCAATTTCTATGTATATAATAACTTCTTTTAACTGGCAACTTTATCTCTTGATCCTCTCTAGGTACCGTATTACATTTACCTGATCCCATGCTAATGTGCAATACGCCTTTGCTTTCTAATAATTACCTCCGGTGATGCTGAGCTCCTTTGCGCGCGTGGATCACAACATGCCTACGTACATATGTATATACATACATACTGCAGCTGAGACAAGTCGGAACTCGCTAAATGGACTCAGATCGGCAATGTTCTGCTTCTATAAGGCTACTATGCTATTTCATGTTTATCTTCTTCCCATCGCTATCGCGCATGAAATGCGACGATTTGTCTCTTCTATATCTATTGTATCTGAACTTGTTGCATCATAACCTCATTTTGCTTGCCGCTTTTTAATGCACATGACAAACGAATGTCGAATAAAAGGCTAGTCCCATCATCCACGAGTCGTCAATCCTCTATGTACAAATAGTCTGATACCCACCATATTCTAATTCGTGCGCGTTGGCCCACGTTTCGCCATCCGCTGGTCCTACTTACTTTTAGTACTATGTAGATGCACCGATCGCAGAAATTAGATTTGGTTCTTACCTAGATGCTCTACTGTGGAAACCTACCGTCGTACCTAGATCTAACTCTCCGCACCCTTCTTCCCCTTATTCTGTTCTCGTCGTTTTCGCTGAGACTAGTCGGTGCTCAGTGAACGAGAAACAACACCCTATCTGGCTATGTTACCCGAGGTACCCCGCACCCATTTGTTGACACTCAGCCCAATGATGCGCACCTTCGCGGTATTACAGTTAGGTTATATCGGGTTTGGTGATAGTTCACCCTACAAATTACGATTTAGGTTCGTCTATTTTAGGTATTATTATGTGCAGGGCGGGAGCGTCGAGTCGGTCCGCTTTGCCTGGGGCCGAGTGCCCACCTCTTTGGACCCTGCGTGCATGAACTGCGACCCGAGATAGACCGAAGTGTGCATATCTCGCTTCGAAATGCCCTTGGCGGGGAAGATCGATCACTCTACTTTTGAGAGTACCTGAACTTAGAAGTGACTCGGTTATGTGGCGTACAGCTTGACATGCAGCTCGCCTACGGCTACGGGCGTAATGCAGGCTATTTCATAATATTTGGGAGAGAGACATGCAGGCAATATTGAAAGTAAGGTTATTCAGACTTCGCTTCATGAAACGAATCAGTAAGACCTAGGCGGTCAGAATTGGCAGTCCAATTATCTATAGAGTCAAAGATCATTATATGGCGAATATTATCAGTTCCAAGCCCCAGATCTCTGCCCTTATTAGAAAGTCATTGTCCTGACTTGCCCAGTCAAACATGGTTTCGAGACATAGCACACCCAATCCACCCCTCCATCGCTTAATCTGGAACCCCTTCCATAAAGACATTGTGCGAAGTGAGCGCACTGCGTCGGCAATTTGAGTGCCATAGGTCAAGTTGCACAGAGATTGATCCTGTTTCGGGAGAAATGAACCGTTTCAAGACAGTGCAATCAATGGTTTCATAAACAAGGCCTTTGTAGCAATCCTACGTATAAAGACTCGAAGCCCATCAGACAAGGTAAGCTAAACACATTTCTTTTAGCATCACAGTACATCACAGTACAACAAATAAATTTCAAAAAAATGTCTTCCACTCAAGGTAATGCCCAAGCCAAGGTATCAACCTTCTCTACAACGACCAAGTCTGCAACTGATAAACCCACAACGACCGGTAATTCCGGAGCAGCTGAGTCCAAAAAACCTACTGCCGGAAAGCCTACTAAGCCACCGTCGACCAAACAGTCAACCAGTGCTGCAAGCTCTTACAGGACTAATACGAATGGCGCGCCTCTTCACTCGCGTCTTCCTTTCCTCAGGTAAGTACTCAGTTTGCAGATAAATAGAACCTAAATGCTAGGATGTGTGGTGTCATAGTACGCATCATATACTCCGCCAGTTGAACATGGAAGTCCGGACAAAGAATGATTAAGGTGTGAGTTATAAACTCTACCTCTACACGTCTCGTCTTCACTCACTGACAACGCGTTTACGCGAACTTTTAGGAAAATAAACTTAAATCTTGTCTTATTTCATTTAAGGTTAATCCTCTCTCGTGTGTCATTACGTCATTACCTATTCAATATTGTCCTCCTTCGGACGAAGCACTAGGGGGTTAGCTCCCAACTCTGACTGCGCGTCTTCTTACGCATATCTTGCTCTAGAATTGGCATTACATCATATCACTTGATAGACTCAATCTGAAAAACAAACTTAGGCCTTGTTTTACTTCATCCAAGGTTATTTTATCTCCATGTCTCATCACCTACTCAATATTGTCCTCGGACACGTCCATGTCATGCCTAGATGTTAAAGACGCGTCATTTGATCGATTTCAAATTTAAAAGGACTTAACACGGTTTAGGACGTCATCGTAAATAATCTCGTAGACATAGGTACTACGTAATCCATACATTGTTAGAGGGTAGATAGTGGCAGAATGAGAGTATATACAGATATATGCTAATGTGTATGTGACGATGTAGATGGATACCTCAGTATATGTGTATGCCTGTAATATATATGCAATTGTCCAAAAAGTTGTCCAAAGCGGATGTAGTTGTGAGGCAAGCAAGTGTGCCGCTCTCCTCTGTCGACGGAATTGCAATCAGCCAACGGGCGAGGCAATGGCGCGCGACAAGGTGATGCATTGAGGTGACGTTGGCGCAAACTAAACGCATTACTTCAGCGTCAGGCCGCTTCCCTAATTCCATTCAATATGGATCAGTGGCGTAGAGTACAAGGCGGTATCAGCATATGCATCGTTCTTCGTGTGTGAGATGTAAATCTCGTTAGTCGCGGTGCTACCGCCCGGGTTAAGTCCCGGATGAGCCTGGAGAGTGTAGGCTCCGAGGGGATAGGTGCCAGTCTCCCCTGAGTAGAAGTTGACTGAGCTCTCCCACGGTCCCGTGATGGAGTCGGCTGTGGTGATGAAGTAATCAGCTGAGACGCTGATACCGGCCTGTGATGGAGACTAGATGTTAGAACTACCTGCTCAACAGAACTCTTTGAAGAGATGGAGATCGTGCGTCAGCGGCTTAAAGCACACAGCTGGGCTCAGACTGAGAATCTCTAAATCGCTAAAAGGCTTTGAGCGACTTACCTGGCCAATCCACACCCACTTGTTCCAGAAGTCAGAGAAATAGTAGGTTCCCTGTCCACCAGCACTCACGTTGGGAATGTTGACATTCGTGTCGTTCAGGCCAGGCAAGCTTGAGGTCCACGCGTCGTTGACCCAATATTGATACTGAGACTTATCCTCGATGGAGCTTGCGGCCACCTTTGCCAAAGCAACGATGCCATTTGATGGCTTACCAAACAGATACGCAGTGCCGTCTTTGATCACACTACCGTAAGCACCATAGGGAATGCCTCCATACAGCCAAAAGTTCTCATCCACAAGACTGACTGTGGGTAGGGCATCTCGGTCCGGATTATCCAGGTTGTATGTCATCTTATAGAGCGAAGTCGCCGGGTCCGGGTCAGGCGTGCTGAAGCTAAAGTTGACGAGTGTTACTGTGCTGTTCGTAGTGGAAGGACCCTGCTTTATAGACTATCTAGAGTGACACTAGACTCCAAATAAAGGATACACGCTACTCACTGTGAAAAGGTTAATTTCAGCCCGATAGTTAGGAATGAGGAACATATAAGTTGATTAGCATTTTGCTGTTCCAGTACACACCTCTGGGAAAATATGCGATTTACGAATCCATGTGTAAGCAGTAACGACATTGCCGTCCGTAGACGTCACCAAAGGGGGACTATCCGGCCAGAGCGCATAACGAGAACCATCAGGGCACGAGCCTGCACTATTAGTGTTGCATTCATTGTCCGTATAGGGGAAATACGGATCCCGGCTGCCACCACCGCCGTACTGCAGAAGGTCAGGAGTTCCATCGGCGTTGATATTGGACCAGCTCGCCGAGGATGACCATAGCGGCAGGATCGGAGCGCCGTTGCTATCGTAGGGCTGGCTGTCCCGGCACGTCCAGAAAACCCGGTCACCGAACCGGGATGAGCCGCACGAATCGCGGTTAATGGCCGGATCAGCGACGTTTCCTACTAAAGTAGCACTTTTTACCGTTGGGGTGAACGCCCTCTTCGAAACAACGGATGAAGACACGTCCTGTAGGAGCAAGGAGCCAAGCAGAACACACACTGAACGTGCCATATTGACGATGATTAGCAAAGGTATAAGCGACTTCAATCAATGGGATGATTTACCTGTTCTGAGCAGAGCATGCTGTATTTAAATTGGGAATCCTGCTCCTTGGTGATCGAATTGAAGCCATCCTGCGTGAGATGATTCCAAGCTACCTCCCAATTTAGGAATGGAGCGCCATTGGTATGGAGAGGGTGACAGGGGGGACGATGTGCAGATCATTGCGCATTCTCGTCAACTTCCAGGCGCCTAGCTTACTGACTATGCATGTTGTCGCATTTCCTGAATCTCATGCTTTGGCAACACCACTTACTGCTCGCTGGGCCCTTTCAATCTACTCAAGAGGATTATTGGTAGCCTCATAGATCTACCTAAGATATGTAGATGTATGAGGAGAAGCGACGGCCATGAGCGAGTATGGAGTGATCGGCGCTAAGAGCCCAATTGAAGATTGACAGCCTCTACACTAGTGTACCCCAGCTGCGAGGTCCCAACCTATGGTTAGGCGGTTGTATGTAAGTAAATAAGGAAGGTATGGAAGAGCTAAAGGGTGCTGGATCTCGAAAGGATCGTGACCAGCTCAAGATCTAATACTCGTTCAACTCTAGCTTCTAGAGAATAAGACCGAGGAAATTGCGTGGAGGGACCGTTTATTGCATGTCCTCTGTAATTGGACAGCCCTACTGCATATTCAAGGCGATCACAACGCAGAACTGACTTCTCTTTATAGAGAGCTTGCGAGCTTCCTGCAAGAATTTGGAGCTCGAACGACGCCAAGGCCTCTTCAAGATGACTCTTCTGGTGTTATGCCGAACTGATATAGGCCAAACAATGAGATTCTCCAGGGCGGTATATTAGCTGGAACAGGCGCCTAAGGTTGGCTAGATTAGGCTGTTTCAAAGTAGAGCATCGCATTTGCTTCAGACAGCCGCTGGCCTAAGATATTTTCAATGTGCTCACCCTAGTTTATCGAATCTACATCACACTGAAATGAGATGTGTATATACAAATGTGGCCCGGTATCAGAAAATCTTTGCGGCGATGGTCACAAGATTTCATGATGTATGTATCCAGTGTGAATGAGATAGAAGCTGTCGCGATTCATATTGTGCACGCGCGCTACTACTATCAACACCTACATGATGGCTTACTTATTAAGTGCACCGACATTCATGAACGGATATATAGTGCATGTCAGTAATGATTCGCACTGAGTTGTTGATAGTAATGAAGCTGGCCTGCTTAGCTCGTTTCCCTGCGCATGTAATCATTCTTATCCCAAGTACGACCTTCGCCTCCCAAAAAATGCTGGAGCCAATGGTCACAATACCGTACAGCATCACTTTACCTGGCTCATGCTCTCCTTTCTAAAGACCTGTAAAAACTTCTGATATTGAGGGCCATCAGTTTAAAGGCGAGCGTAGAGCAACATCGTGTTCATAACAATTAAACCTTTATGTCGATAAGTACGGAGGTTGAGGTTGTAAATGTCCATCACCCTTACTATTGGCCTATCATGCCAAGCCTGATGTATATTTGTGACCCAAACCTACGTACCTGACATGCCTGTTTTCAGAATAACGGGTATCATAGTCGTCCTTGGCCTCAGCTCACGCACTTCAATTCGCGATCTCGCACCTTGGGAGCTCTTACCCAGTTGTCGCGATATCCATGAATCATGTTTTCAAAGGTCAATCTCAACACCTAGCTACACACTATTCATTTTCAGCATAAGTTTTTCCAATGATCGACGTACTCAGCTGGAGATAATACTCCCCTACGAGCATATACCTCTTACCCGGTACTCACCTATAGGAGGATATTCTACTGTAGGGTATCCTGACCTCGGTAATTAGGTAGGCGGCTGGGGCTATCCGCTAAAAGGGGTACCCCGGAAGCAGTACTGCCGATGATTGTAGCCGTGATGACAGCATATCCACATAATGATAGGCCCCCAATTAGACGATGCGGAGGCGATGAGCCTCGAATCGCTAACCTGAGCTGGTCGGATGGCTCTCTCGCCCTCGCTAGAACACGGGATCTCGCAACGGTAATGGATAGTGGAGGCCCGCCGCGTCGGGGCCCCTCATCGCTTTAATCGTCGTCGGTTCAGCTGCCTTTCAATTGGTAATGAAGCCTATGTGTATAGCCAGCTAGGCCCACGCCCTCACCGTTTGGCTCTATTTGTTTCGCGGTGACGATTCCGGACAATTCCCAGCTGGGATCGTGTCAGCCAGTCAACAACCTCGTTTGCACGCCATCCTTCCCTGTGGGGGTTGCTGAGATGTGCTGAGATGCATTTCCCGACTTTTGGTGCCGTGTATATCACTCTCACCACACGTGTACGCTTAGCTGTATGAAATTGACACCATGAACCTAGCCTCCTTACATTTCAATCTCAAATAGCTGCTAATATTTAATATCTTCTACCTCCCTCGAACTTTGCCTTGTTGATCAGCTGGCACTTGCTTTTGTCTAATTCCTTTGTTACACTTGGCTTGAACCTGACTCGGATCACATTACGCGCCACTCAGCAGGCACGTTACTAACCCCTCATCCAATTCACTTCATTGTTCGTAAGTTGATAGACAGCACCGACTCAACAATGGAGGATCAACCTTCGTCAAAACCAAATCCTCCTTATTACGATATAGGTGAGCATATGACCTATTCTCAAGTTGAATAAAACTGACGCTCTTGTTAGTAATTGTGGGAGCCGGCCCAGTTGGCCTCACGCTGTCAACATGTCTCGCGAGGCTTGGCTATAAAATCAAGCACATTGATAATCGTGCTGAACCCACGCCTAATGGACGAGCCGATGGTATTCAGCCCCGATCTCTAGACTTCTTAAGGAATATGGGCTTGAAGTCGGCTATCATGAAGAACAAACCCGCCAGGGTCTACGAAGTAGCCTTCTGGGATCCGGCCACGGCAGAGAAGGGCGTTATTCGAACAGGAACCTGGGCTAGTTGCCCAGCTTTCATCGATGCGCGGTACCCCTTTACCACCCTCTTACACCAGGGCCTTATAGAGCGCGCCTTCATCTCGGATTTAAAAGAGAACGGTGTTGAGATTCAACGGCCGTGGAAGATTGCTGGATTTACGTCCGATGAAAAAGTGAACTCTGAATATCCGGTTGAGGTCAACCTTGAGCACGTAGACGGTACGAACAGTGAGACAGTCCGCGCCAAATATCTGTTCAGTGGCGAGGGCGCCCGGTCATTTGTACGAGAGCAACTAGGCATCGGTATTACACATAAGGATCCCATAGCTCACGTATGGGGAGTCATGGACGGCGTGGTCAAGACAGATTTCCCCGACATCAGGGTTCGTGTTGCCATTATGGAACTTATTTCGTTATATATGAGGCTAACTCAGAACAGATGAAATGCACAATACATTCAGATCACGGATCTATCATGGTGATTCCTCGAGAGAACAACATGGTCCGGCTGTACATCCAGATTGCTTCGTCCACAGACCCAGACTGGCACCCACGGAAGACTGCTACAACCGAACAAGTACAGGCCTCGGCAAAGAAGATCCTACAGCCATACTCCATCGAGTGGGAGAGTGTTGATTGGTACTCCGTGTATCCAATTGGCCAGGGTATCTCTGACAGGTATACTCTTGATCACCGAGTGTTCCTTGGAGGGGATGCTTGTCACACACATAGCGTAAGCTTTTTCACCCTTGCCCATTGCCCTCTCATAGAGTCGACCAGTAACTCATAGCGCCACAGCCTAAAGCCGGTCAAGGTATGAATACGGCCTTCCTGGATGCTCAGAACTTGGCTTGGAAGATACACGCAGTTGAATCCGGGTTCGCCGACCGAGCTCTTTTGAAAACATATGAGCCCGAGCGTAAGGAGGTGGCACAGAATCTTCTCTCTTTCGACAACAAGTACGCCAAACTGTTCTCAGAGCGACGGCCGGCTGCTACAGAGGTCCAGGCAGCTTCGAAACACACGAATGGCAGTTCCAACGACAATGAGTTTATTAAAACCTTCAAGGAGTCATGCGAGTTCACGAGTGGTTATGGAGTGGCATACGGACCTAACGCCCTGAACTGGTCACCCGACCATCCTGCCCAATCGCATCTTATTCACCCCAAGGGCACCAAGCTGCGGACAGGGCGTCTAATGGCGAACGCCGATGTCACAAGGGTGGTCGACGCCAATGTCGTGCATCTAGAACAGGAGGTTCCCTGGAATGGATCGTTCCGCATTTACATTTTCGCCGGCAAGCCTTCAGTCACTGCTACGGCTCTTAAGGATCTCGCTTCCCACCTGGGCGGGAAACGCTCTTTCTTCGGGTCATATCTGCGCCCGGATATCGATTCCGTCTCGCACCTCGAGCGATACAACCCGCACAGTCTATTCTTCACCATCTGCACTATATTCGCCGCCACACGTCCCGAAATCGAGATCTCGCGGGACCTCCCGGGACTGCTTGCCAGATACCGCGATCTCGTCTACGCAGATGATAGGTGGGACCGACGCGTGCCGGAAGCGAAAGCAGCGGCACATGCCAAGATGGGGGTCGACGAAGAGAAGGGTGGCGTCGTCGTGGTACGGCCCGATGGTTACGTGGGTATTGTGATCAGTTTGGTGGAGGGTAGCGGGACCATCGACGCGTTGAACGCGTACTTTAATGCCTTCTGCGCGAAGAAGACAGGTGATCGCCGAGCACAGTTGTGAGTGTGATGGCATTGCACTTTCATCCCTTTCTTTTCTTTGTCCCCCTCTTAGAGGACATACGGCACTTGCATACACGGGGATCTCAGTGTGTCGGATTTTGTTCTAGATAAGAGATTATTGCTAGGCCTTCTCGCAATAGCGTCGGCTGTATCGTATACCCATACTTAAATTATTTTCAACATATGGACACACTGTCATGTGTCCGCTGCGCCACCAGTATGATTGTGAACCACCCTCTTTGCCGTTCAAGGGGCGGAGTTTTGGTAGCAGGCTTCGGTAGGATGTGAAAGTAATAAGCAGCGGGGCCACATTATCAAATATGCTTCGTCGTTTCCCTTAAAGTTTACAAAATTATACCTAGTCATAGTTTCAGTATGAGTTATCACACCGCAGCGCACCAAGAAAAAGTAGACGAGCTTCCGTGCAGCACTACAATCTTTGAAGATGCGAATGAACGAGGCTAGCTGCATATATGTAGTACGAACGGCATCGTCAGTTTATCTAAAGTGAAGGGGCCCATAGGAAGCATCATTTAATGAACTGATTTAGTTGAAAATCAATGGAAGCCTGACACTCCACGGGTCATCTTCTAATCAAGAAACTCTCACTTCTATATTCATATTATTAGATGTTAAATCAACATGAAACTATAGTGCAATCAGGTGAAATTGGCAGCATATGAAGTTAATGATGAAGCGCTACTTCGGCCTGACGCTGTTCCAGCTAGGCTATTCCCGCGTGATGAGTTCTCGGCTGCCACTCATAGACACGCACGCACTACCTTAGAACCGGGCCGATTTCTCTACCTCTAGACCTCGAGTATGCGCAATTTCCTTGTTTCTTAGTCTCTCAAGCCGAGCCGTCTTGAAATTCCTCTACCTCGAGATGTTCCATGCCTATAGTAATGACAGTCATGTGGAATCTACGTAGACGCGGGCGAATTTTCCAATGATATGTCCACGCAGCTGTGCATCAGCGAGGACGCCTTGGCTTGCTATACCTTCTTGCCACCAACTTATGCATAGCGGGACTCTATTGTAGGATTTGGTTGCTTGATGGTGGGTGGGCTCATGAAGGTCCAGTAGGACCACATAGGACAAATCATCGGAGATAGCCTAAAGGACTTGGCACTTGGCACTTAGCATATAAAATTTAGGATTGTATTTATATAAGCTATTATTGTACGAAAGGATATCCAATTTAATTAAACTATATACCTATTTAATTATTAGGTTTTAGTTTTATTAGAATACTTTTATATAATTAGTTACTTATTTAAAATACTATATAAAGGTACCCGGTAATCGTTTTAATGCTTCCATTTATTTAAATTTTATTAATAATAGAAATTATATATACCTAGCCCTACTTTAATCTGGATAAAAAAGAAAATTAATTGTACGAAAAGAAATAATATATATTTAGGCGAAAATGATAAGGTTAGTAGTTAAACTATTAATTGGATAATTGGATTAATAATTTAGCATTTTTAGCTTTTTTTTTACCGGTTAATAAAGCGTAGGAAAGGGCGTATAATTATTATTATTATTATTATTATTAGGTTTATTTTAAATAGAGTAATAAGCTTTATAGTTTTAATATTTATAATTATTATAGTAATTATTAAAATAACTTAATAATTATATATAATTAGGAAATAGCTATATTATATTATTAATTGAAGTATTTTAGGTATAATGGTATTTAAAGTAAAGTAAGGCGGATAGGACCCTTTAAGATTAAATTAAAAGGGTACTAATATAGTTTAACTAATTGGATAAAATTTGGGTTATAATATAATATTCCTATATAATGGTAATATTATAGTTAAGTAAGTTTAAAATTATTTATTAAAGCGTATTATAGTAATAAAGTATTAATTATTATCCTTTAATAGGAAGGATAAAGGTAGGAAGGGTGGGAATATTATTTATATAAAGATGTTAGTATTTATTGTATAAAAGAAAGGAAAAGAAGCTTATGCTATAATAATGATAGTGGTAGTAGTAGTGCTGCTGCTATTGCTACTATTGTTATTATTATTGCTATTGTTGCTGCTACTATTATTAAACTTAAAAAAAAAGAGAAAAGAAAGGGAAAGTTAAAAAGGGGGGGAAATAAAGTTTTATATAGCTATATAAAAGGTATATACTTTATATAATTATATATATAATAAATAAATATATAAAAAATATATAAAAGTAAGTATACCTATTTATAATATTGCTTATTATATAAAGGGAATTATACCTATTTATATATTTAAAGTAAAAAAGTATATAAATATATAAACCTTTATATAATAAATAATAAGATTTTATAATAATGTTTCTTTTTAAATAAAAGCTATATTATATAAACTTTTAATATAAATTATATATATATTATAATAAATATTATATATTAAAATTAAATTATAAATATAATATATATATAAAAAATCTTTTATTTTAATCTTTTATTTAATTTTTCTTTTTTTTTTTATTATATAATTAATCTTTTATTTTTTTTATTCCTTTATATAATTATTTAAATATTTTAAATATTATAATATTTATAATGGAATTTTCTTCTTTTATAAGTTTAATATACTTTAATAATATTAAGCATTATATATATTAAAAATTTAAAGCTACCTTTTTTAATAGTTTATTTTACTTTAATTATTTAATTAAGTAGCCTTAAGCTATTAAAATTCTAAATAATAATAAAAAAGATATACTTTAAATTTATTATATAATAGTTAAATTATAAGCCCTATTTTAAAATATTACTTTTAGCCCTAACTTTAATACTTTTATACCCTTTAATTATTTAATAATTAACCTTAAATATTATACTTTAATATTAATAATATATAAATGGATTAACTATATTTAAAAAAATATAAAGAAATTATAATATAAATTTATAATTATAAAAAAATCTAAGTAAAAGCTTATATAATAATAATATTTAATTATTAAAATCTAAATAAACATTTAAAAATTATTATATTATTATAAAGATAAAATATTATTATATAATAAAGCTTAAAGATTATATATATATTTTATTCCTTTTTATTATTTTTTATATATTAATAAATAATTAAATTAATATTAATTTAAAGAATTTATTTATTTATTTAAAGCATTTATTTAAAATAAAAACGATTAGCTTTAAACCTTTATATAATAAGGAATTAAATTTAAATATTATATTTATTTTAATTAAAAGTAATATTATATAAAAGTAATAGTTAAAGTTAATAAAAGAAAGTTAATAAATTTATTTAAAACTTATAAATTAAATATTTTTAATTATATAATAAAAGATTTATTTAAAGATAAAGGATTTTTTTATTTTAAAAGCTTTTATAATTTTTATATAACGATTTTTATTTATATTTAAAAAGTTAAACCTATTTTAAAAAAGCTTATTTATATAATAAAATTTAAAGTTAAAAATAAAAGTATTATATATAAAAATAACTTCTTTTATAATAATAATAAACTTTTAAATTAAGGGTTATATAATAATATTATTATTAAAAAGTAAGTTAACCCTTTAATTATTTAAATTAAAAACTTTTATATTACTTTTAACTTTAATATTTTTATAAAAGTTCTTTTTAATTATATAAAGTATATTTAAAATAATATTTTTATTTTAACTTTTAAAAAGTTTAAACCTTTTATTTTAAATTTTAATTTATTTAATAAGTTAGATTTAAAATTTAAATGTAATTTAAAATTTAATTTAGAATTATATTTAAGGAATTTAAATTATTATATAGTAGCTTTAATTATTAATATAGGGTTTAATTTAAAATAAAATTTAAAGGTAAAAGGTTATTATATAATAAAATTAATAATAAAATTAAAATAGGATTATTATATAGCTATTCTTATTATTAAGCTATAAAGGTTAAAAAGGTTAACTAAAGGGAAAAGTTTTAAATTAAAGGATTAAATTATATAATAAATATTTAATTATTTAGATTTTTATAATTATTTTATATATTAATAAGGAATTTAAGGGGGATAGGGTTTCCGTTTAAGTTATTATTTTTTTTAAAAATTAAATAGTTTTATTATAATATAATTATTTAAATAAATTAACTTTTATATAATAATAAATAAAATATATTTAATATATATATTTATTAATATTATTAATTGGATAATAAATAATTAATAAAATAGGTTTTTAATTAAAGGCTATATATTATTATATAAGCTATTAAAAATTAAAATATATATAAAAATATAAATATATATAATTTTCTTTTATATAAAGGATATTATTAAACTTTAAATTTTTTAATTAAGTATTATACTATTTTTTTATTTTAGGGGAAAAAAGGTATTAATTTTAATATTTTTTAAAAAAGAAATTATTATACAAATTAAAGTATAAATAAATAAACCTTTAAATATAGGAATTTTTTAATTAATTTAAAATATTTTATAAATTTTATAAGGTTTATTAAAAATAATATAAAAATAATATTTTTACTTTTAAATTATATAATTATTTTATAGCTATATAAATTTTAAAATCTTTATATAAAGAATAAGTTTATAAATTATATATATAATAATAAAATTTTAATAATTTTTTTTATTTAAATACCTAATTATACTTAATTTATTAATAAAATTAATCTATTAATTAATTAATCCTATATAAAAGCTTTACTATTAAATTTTAATTTTTTAATTTTATTTATTTATATTCTATATATAATATAAAAAAAGGTAATTACTTTATTAATAAATTTATTCTATACTATTTAAACTATTATATATTATAGCAATTTTATTTAATTTAATAAAAAGACTTTAAATATTAATAAAAAGAGGTATTTTAATTCCTATATCTACCTTTATAAATAATAATTATATATTTATAATATTTATTATATAAAGGAATTATTTTAAAATATTTATAATAATATAAATAATAAAGCTAATATAGATTTAAATAATTATATATAAATATATATTAATATAATTATAAATTTAATAAATTAATTATTATATAAAAAAAAAAGTTATTATATAAATTTTAATTCCTATTTTTTAAAGCTTTATATATTTATTAAAATATTATATAAAATTTTAATTTAAAATTATATATTTTTTATATTAATAAATAATTAAATAACTTTATTATTATATAAGCTTTAATTAATAAACTTTATAATATTAATAAAGTTAATTTTTATTAATAATAATATTAATTTATATTTATATAAATTTATAAAAATAGTTTTTTTTAAAGCCTTTTATTATAAAACTTTATTATATATATTATTTAAATTATTTTATTATTTATTATATAACTTTATTATATTTTTTATTTATATAATATTGCTACTTTATATTATATTTATATTAAATATATTTAATTATATAGTAGGTTATAGGGTAATTAATTTTAGCTAGGTTTTATTGGATAGATTTATCTTTTTAGCTTTATATAAAGAAGAAAAATTGGATTTAAAAGAGGATTTCTTTAGATTAGAATTAGTTTTAACAGCCTATTAAATGCTAAGCTTAAATATAACGAAATAATGTATGAAAGGTATAATAGTAGCCTTATTAATTAAAATCGGTAAGGATAGTAAAAATAAAAGTTCTAACTTCGTATAAAGCAATAATTTTATTATAAAAATCGTTAATATTAGATAAAGCTTAAGGTATAACTTTAATGCTTTAAATTACTTAGATAATTCTTTATATAATACAAAATTACTAAGAAAATGGAACATGCGGGGTAATCTTAAGCGCTTAGGCTATCTCCGATGATTTGTCCTATGTGGTCCCAGTGGCCCACCGTCTGGGCTGAAGTGCCCGTGCATCGAAGTGCATATCACGGCATCAACAGATAACGAGCCAGCGGCCGATCTTTCTATTGTCCCGTGAACCCAGATATCACATTGAATGGCCCTGAATAAGTCTCTGATCCTAAAATTAGTTGATCAAGTGAAGGGAACCCCCGCGCTGCGTCCTTGAGTCGATGGATGGCTAGTACCCTCCTGTCCATTTGGGAGAACTTTCTAGATGGCATCCTTTATAAGGTTCCAATCAGCGTCAGCGTTGTGAGCAAACGAAAGCAGAAAGTCCCAATTACCTACTCCAATTTGAAGCGCGAATGTTAAATAGCCTGAAGTGGCTTATCATCTGTTCGTACCCTAGAACACGTCAGCAAATCAGCCTGGCGTGATGAGTAAGTATGGGCTACTTTCTACATACCTTGTAACTTCATGTATGATGTCCCGAAATGCACGCGGTCGTAGATTAATTGCCGACTAGAGTGGTGCATGTCTGCCTGCAACCCCGACGTCAGCTCAATTCAAGGTTTCTGTATGAGGAAGCTTGAAACTAACAATAGATAAGTTGTTTTGAGGTAATCATTAGATATACTTCATTGCCCTATTGTATGTCTCTTCTTTAATTACAATCGGGTCATGAGCTTACACATCGTGCTTGGCTCGTTGGTCTTATTCACGAACGGACCTATTCGGTACCATACTCAGGTACATAGTTCTCCGCTGAATAGGTTCTTAGCAATTCTTTCGGCACTTCGTTTCAGCCAGTAGTGAGAGAGGGTCGCAGGTAATAATGCATGTGGCACGGGTTGGATAAACTGCCGGATAAAGTCGAAGTTGGGGTCTAGCTTGCCGTGTTAATATCGAGCTCCTCGTTTGCTCCTTTCCAACGAATACGACCCGTCTTCTGGCTTCGTAAATCAATGCCTAAAAATAACCATCACTTTAACCGTGTCACTCAAATTGCTGCTCGATATGAATTCATGCCAACTGTAGCCTGTAGAAGTATGAGCTGAGCATCCGAGGCGAAGCTCACGATATTGCGCAATATAGAGGTTTCCAACAGCCTGGATAAGGCTGTATGTAATTTATATGAAAGTGCTTCTAGAAGATTAGCCGTAGATCCTAAGAGATGGTGTATATAAAAGATCGACTGCGGCTCTGAGAAGTGGTAGCTTAGATATAACGTCTATGGTCTGACTTGCGCTGAGTCGACAACCAGCCTGCTCTCAACTAAGGCTTCCCGGTACCACGTTACAATGTATGTAACATTCCAAAAATCCCAACCCGATTCAGAAGCTGAAAAGGGCGTCTCATGATCCCTAATACCCAAGACCGAACCCTTGTACCGTCATCGGAACTCAGATAACCCAGCTTCCAACTTTGTGTGTTCACACACCACATGGGGAGGTATCGTACGGCGGTATGATGACGGGTCGGCTGCAGCTAGTTCCTTAGAATTTGCTGAGCAATCATGTACTCATTGGGTGCCGCTGAATTTTGCGTATCAGATCGTGGCATAGTCCAAGATACTTGAGGGTCTGGGAAAGGCTTTAGACCAGGGTGCTACAGTTTCGACAAATTGCAGTGCTCCTAGGCGTCAGCTTCCTCTTTCTTTTGGGGACCAGGGCCACGAATCTTGAAGGACCTAATCAATGGATGGTTGTATCTCCTCGTCAGACGGATTCTAGATTGCGCGGATGGCCGCGAACCAACAAAATGTAGTCTTTCCTTGGACTTGGGTCCTTCGGAAAACAGATGCGGATGCGGGATGACTGGATATAAAAGCCCACGCTTTTCACCTTCTAAATCAACAATGCAACAGAGCACATCTGGCATTCTAAGACTCAAGTCCATTTAATCATTTGAACCCTTCTCTTTCGATATTGCAGCAAGCTGCCAACCAAAACCTTCAACAATGAAGCTCTGGTCAACGCTGGCTCTGTTCGCGGGCCTTTCTACTGCGGCCTCGATTCTCATTCCAGAATCGGTAGATGCCGACCAAGTGCATGAGCCGCACGTGGTCGACGAAAGCTCGGCAATTACCACGGTCATAGTCCCGCAAGATGCCCCAGCAGACTACCACATCGATTCCGTTAGTCTAAACGAAAGCCACGATGCTCTCCAGAAGCTAAAGCGTCGCGGTGCCTCGAATGAACCAAGAGATACTATCGCTCGTCGAGATTTCTTTGAGTGCGCGACCTCTGTATGTGACGACTCCGTCTCCTTTTAGCCCCTGTACTCTGAACTTCATCTCCCCATCAAGTATCCTGAATCCCCAGCACCCACCACATGTGTTAATGTATGACTAGGGCAATCCCCCATCAGCTAGCGACTGCCAAACGGTCATAAACAACGTATTCGCCACCAACCAGAACCTGGTGATCTCTTCTGGGGCATGCCTCCTCTTCCAGTTCAACACGTGCTGGGGCTTCTTCTGCTCGCTGTGCCAGCGCCTCGGCACCAGCACCAACTTCATTGGCAACGAGCTGACAACAGCCCACACGCTCTGTGTCGCTGGGGGTGCCGCAGGTACCGTTGTCGGTGAGAGCGCGCCGCAGTGGCAGGCTGGCTTTATCCGTGCGAATGGTGCGCTCCCTAACTATGCAGGCGATGTATGCTAAAGGGAGAGTCTTGGGTCTTGTAGTGATGGTATGGCTCGATTAGGGTGAGCGCTGACAGACCGCTGGGAGGTGAGAGTTTGGAATCACTGGGACTGCTTGGAGATTAATACAGATATTAACATCATATATATATGGGTATTATAACATGATAAGACGTGTGACTTCGTATCGGTTCATAGAGGTAGATAACAATTCATGCCAGCACTGAACGACAAGGCCTTATTGCAAAGTGGCGTGGCGAGCTACGTTGCCCTTAACAGTTCGCCGTCTGCGTGGACGAGTCTACCCTGGTGATATCATTCATTCGTTTTAGCTGCATCTCATATAGGCGGTGCCCTCTGTGCATCGCATACATGTTCTGAAGAATTGGTATGAGTACGTACTACATCTTATTCCTGAAGTTGAGCTTCTCCAAGCACGTCCTTGTCTCTCGGCTAATCCACGGCCCAGATTCCAAGCCAGCTGATGCGTCAGCCAAACCCCAACGTGGCAGCAGGACGGCGAACATTGATACTGGCGAGTTGTCGGATGCTCAGGTAACTAAGATTCGCACTATAGTATCAGCAGCCGGGTACATTTCTGATGAAATAACTGAGATGATTGAGTACTCCCCCCACGCGGCAAACGAAGGGGATGAATTGCAAGACGCAGACGATGAGAACCTGTCGGAAAAATTGAAATTGAAGTTCCGGGAACTCGTTTGAGATAGAATTGATTTAGTTTACATGATCATACGGACCCCTAGAAGTTCTGTTACGGGATGGATGAGTTAAGGGATCGCGTTAAGGGATCGCCCTGGTCTAGGGGACGTGGCTGGGGACAGGCGGGCGTGGAAGATCCACTGGAGGTGATTGATCGATTGTGTGTTTGCTCGCAAAACTAGCTACGCTACGCACACCGCCATGTGAGCCCATTTGCTAATGGAAGACACGGTTGAACAACGCGTATATAAGGCCTCCTTGATCCCGCATTCTTTGAAGCCTTTCGGGTGGGTGGGGGTGGGAGAAGGGCACCATCATATCCTGCCCTAAAATTCCCTTGTAACCTTTTGATATCTAGTGATACCTACCCTCGCCAAGATGATTCTCCTACTATATTGAAATCGACATTAACAGAAAGTAATGCCGTAAGCTGCATTACCAATTCTGCGGCTGCATCTCATATCATCGTCAAGTTCCAATCCATCTTTAACCAGGATAACGAGCTGGCTACGTCGACCGAACCAACCGAATTGGAATATAATTTACAATATCTAATACATAAAATAGATAGGATTGAAACCCGGGAAGCCAATTATCTACAACTTCAACTGCTACGATGAAGCGGATGATCTCAAAGCCATCTATAATATCGATAGTAATAAGATCCCGGATTTACGGTTATATGTTAAAGATATGAAGGCTCTAAAGAAGCAGCAGCTACAAGATCTTTCACACGTGCTTCACGGTAAGAAGCTACCACCACAAGGTACTAAAAACGGAGCAATCCAGTCGGTCCTGAACAGTATGGGGGCAAAAGATTTGCGGTTCACACCTGAGAAGTAGTAACCTACAATGGTTTGGCCCTCTCCCCCCAGCCCCAGATAACCACATCTGAATTTCAGCCTTGAGTTCGACGCTGGTCTGCTCAAGCCAAACTCAAAGAAAAGCTTAAGGAAACCAACACCAACACCGAACTTAAGGCTAAAATTGAGAACACTAACGCTAAATTCGAAGAAAGACTTGAGGAAACCAACACCAAACGTACCATCTATAGAGGGGGGGAAAGAAACATAGACGGTCCCGGAACAATCCTATCAGTATATGGATGGTGTTTCCTATCACCACCAGACAAAGTAACATAGGTATTACTACTGGCCACTGTATGGGAGTTCCTTGGCGCCAACTCAGATTTAAAATTATTATGACCATACTGGTTGGAACTGAGATCATGACATTCAATGATCCCACCTCCTCGCAATCATTATCCAATGTAGGATGGCGCTGAGCTTCCCATCAACGAGTAAATATAGCGCAAATTGAGCCCTGCCTGTGGACGGCTCCGAGTATCCTTAAGACGGAGTACCTATGTGATCTTATCCGGCGGTGATACGTACGTGACCTTATCTGGTGGTGATACGTACGTGACCTGATCTGGTGGTGATGGCAAACCCCATCGCAAATTGAGCCCTGTTGACGCCGCGACCTGTGGGTTCGACATCTTGGAATGTCGCCACGTGCGCGCCCCAAAGCTTGAGGTCCACGTATTGAAGATCGTTGTTGGTGGCGAAGCGCTAGATCTTAAGGTGTCAGTTGGCAAAGACAATCCAGTGCGCTCAATGAGCTGCAATGGCAACTAAGCCTCGCCTTTTACCATGTATAGTGCTGCGTAGCGTAGAACTGCTCTATGCTCTCCAGTCTTGCTTATTGCAGGAACTTGGGTACGACAAGTAGAACGCCTGGATTTCAAGCTTCTCCAGTGTTGAGGGCAAGGATGGTTCTTGAGAAGATACCATTGTTAAGTGTTTACAATGCCTGCAAGCAGATATGTTTGGAATCTGTATTCTAGCATATAACAGGTGGAGAACAACCAGGGTTCGACAGATAATAAAGGAGCTGTTGGCTTTGACTTAGTAACCTATGTGAAGAGAATTAGATTTGTTATGAAAAGGTGTAGTAAGATGCATGCTGGAGGGAATGGGCTTGGACATGGCTTGGATGGGTTGATCTTAACACCAGGGGTTGACATCCCATGTACTTAATTCACTAAGCTAAATCGATAGATATTTTTCATAGTAATGGCCGTTAATTATCAGTATCGCGTTATTGTAGTCACATTGATTCCCCAGCGAAGCTATCGCAGATAGCTGCTGCGGCGCTGCCCGAGAATCTGATGAAGGAACCAACTCATATTCGAAACAGTCACAACTTCTCTTGACACTAAAACACTACCTAAGTTCATTCCCTAGTAGCCCATGGTTGCACATTATCAGTAACACCGCGTAGACAATCTCTAACTAGCAGGCCTCAGAGCATTGATGAACATTTTTGTTTGCCGTGATGCCTTCCGATATGTGGCTAGAAGGTTCGGACTGTACAGCTGCCATGTAACCGCTCGACCTAAGCGCCGCTGACAAGCTGTCTGGTTTAGTTAGACTATCACTCCATTGCTGAATGCTCTGTTGAGATGGAGCTTTTGTCGAAATACCCCGCAGCGAGAACTTGCTAGCAAAATTACGAAGACTCTTGACTGAAACGTCATTAAGAACAATGCGTAGCGTCGGCAAGCAGGCGCAGATCACAGCCACAGAGCATTCGAGTTGAGACCAGTATAGTGTTGGTGATGTGTCATCTCAACTATGTTAGCTCATGATTACACGACTAAGGGCATGCCGCAATAGAGTGATATCGTTATCGTCACAGCTTCTGGACCATGCAGTGTTGTTTCAACTTACATGATATGTCTGTAGCTTCTTTCAAACTTGTCCCTGCGTGGACAAATAGCGCTATTCGTGCAGCGCTAATCCCGATAATACTGTAATGGTGCCAAGATCAGCATGAGTATTACATAATGAATGCCAACAGTTTGTTATCAAATTCCTCATCGTAGTGTTGCCGCGCTTGACAATTTCGAGTGGACCTAGATTAACACAAGCACCATATAATAGAAGCGGATGCTTACAATGCGCCTAGCAAAAAGATGAGACTGACACTGATCTTCTGCTTCGTCGGTAGGTTGAGCTTCCACACCAGCGGCACGGGAATCGACAAGATAATGACGTCCACAATGGTATCAGATATGGCACCTGTGTAGAATAATGGAATGGGCACAAAGCACCGAGCAGCTGGATCCTGGGTCCAGAAAGCTTCAACAGGAACACAAATGAGAAGCCCGGCGAAAAAGAAAGCAGCGGCCCAGGAAGCGATAACAGCTAAGAGAATACTTGTGAGAATGGAGAACTTAGAGCCACGAAAAATCCGTCGATAGAAGCAGACAATAGAGAGTTTGGTTGGGCCGAGGGATAGCGGCGAGAAGATGATGCTGAGGAACTCTATCTATCCAATGGTCAATGGGAATAGTTCTGTGGTCTGATGATCGTTGGGCTTGTCTACTCACCTTAGTAAAGAGAACAAACCGAGGGTCATGAATTTGAGGGACACCATGCTTGTCCAGGGGCATATGTCTGCCAAGAAGGCCACTGATAGCGCCTGAGCAATGTCAGCAGGTAATAAGTTAATGTGAATAAGCAAATCGCAAGGGTCCCGGGCCACCCCGCCACGCGCTTTTTACGCGAATTTACGTATATAAATCCCTATACCTAATGCAGTTAGTTTTTACCTTTTAACCTTCTTTTTATATTGAATTTTACGATGCCTTCAATTTCTAAAGAAAAGCGTTATTAAGGCATTATTTACAACGTTAAGCTTGGTTTAAATGTTAAAACGGTAGTATAAAAGTAGGATATTTTTAGGACTACTTTATAATATTATTTTAATAGAATTCCAACCTAAAAAAAGATAAATCGAAGCTTTTAATTTCTTTTACCTTATTTAAAACGTTAATTAATATATTAAATGGTTAATTAAATTAAATTAAACTATATATTATTATTAATTAAATTTTAAACTTTTATAAATTTTATATTTAATAATATTAATATTATTAAAAAGGTTTTTCTATTATAATATTAAAGCTTTATTTAGTAAAATTTATTAATTAAAATTATTAAATCCTATATAATTAATTATTTAAAAGTTAATAATATTATAATAATTAATATTAACCTTTTTTTTAATTAATTTAAAGCTTTAAAAGTTATTAATATTTTAAAAGATTATTAATATAATATAAATAAAATAAAGGTTAAATAAAGTATTAATAATAATTATTAAATTATTTATAAAGTAATTAACTATTTAATATTTAAAAAAGATATTAATAAAAGTAAATAAATAATAATATTAAAGTATATTATTATTAATAATTATACCTTTTTATTAATAATAATTTTTAAAGGTAAAAATATTTAATATTAATAATTTTTATAATAAAATATAAACTTATAAAATAATTAATTCTTTTAAGCTTTATTTAAAAAATAATTTAATAATAAAATTATATTAAATTAACTTAAAAAGGTTTTTATATTATAAATTTAAACTTAATATAATAATAAATAAATAATATTAATATATAATAATTATAATAATTAATGCATTTCCCACTTAACCTGGCTACCTAATTAACCTAATTATATTTTTAACCTTTATATATATATTTAAAAATATCTTAATAACTATTTATACGATTAACTTAAATTAATTTAAATTTAAATTGTTAAATGTTTTTATAATATTTTTGTAAATTTATATATTATAGCTAGGTTTACTATAAGCTTTATAATGCTAGGCGTAAGTTTTCTTTTTCTTTATATAACGATTACTTTAACGTATAATATGATTTTTTACCTTAAAAATACTTCGTACCTTTATTTAATCCTTAATATCTTTAATAATAAAAGATCCTTTACTTTATAATTTAGTTTTCTTTATATAATAATATTTATTAAACTTATAATTTATTTTATAAAAGCTTTTAACTTTCCTTTTTAATAATATTAAATAATATATAATATTAGTTATATTATATATAATTTAGCTTAACCTTTTAATAATAAATATAAAAAAGCTATTTTAATATTATATAATCTTTTATTTAATATATTTAAAAAGGGAATTAACTTTAATTAAATTATTTAAAGTTATAATTATATAAGAATTAAATAGTATTAGGGATAAAGGGTTAATTTAAAGCATAATTAAATAATTTAACTAATTAATAATATAATTTAAATTATATAGTATTAAACCTATTCCTTTAAATTCCCCTTATATATTATTTAAAATAATTACTTTATTAAACATATAAAAAAATACAGTTATAAAATCTTCCTTTTAAATATAAATAATATATACTTATATAAAGCCTTTAATTTATTTTCCATATAATTATTTTAAAGGGCTAAATACCCTAATATTAAATAGTTAAAAGTAATAAAAGGAATAGGGAGGTATATAAAGGGTAATAATATTATTTTCTTTATAATATAATTCAAATTTATATAAATAATAGCTTTTATAGCTATTAAAGAAAAGAAGGTAATAATATCCTTTTATATAAAGCTTTATATATTTATTAAAATGTTTAATTTAATTTATAGCTTATTTATTTATTATTTAACCATTTTTTATAGTTATAATTTTTTAATTGTTTAATATATTATTATTTTTATATTAAAGCGTAAGGTAGTTTTTTATTATTAAAATAATATATAGTAGAATAATTTAACCGTATAATAAAATTATTTAAATAATTATAAACTATTTTAAATTGCTTAATTAAATAGCTTATAGTTTTTATTTATATTTAGCTAAAGTTATAACTATTTTAAATATAATTTTACTTATTATAAACCTAGTTTTATTAAAGTTATAGATATTTTTTTTTTAAATATTATTTTTATTTATTATCTTTTGTATAAGGATAAATTAAATATAGTATTCAATTGGATTTTCGTTTAATACCCATTAGTAATTAATTTTTTAATTAAAATATATTTAAATGTTTAAAGTTTATTATATAAAGTTTAATATTTAATTTTTTTTAATTAGCTTTTAACCCTATAATACTATTAATTGGTTAGTTATATCTTTTATATAATTATATAAAGGCGGAAATAATTTTACTATAAGATTAAAGATGTATTATATAATCGATTTTTCTTTATCTGGAATTAATTGGGCTTTTAAAGGTAGTATTTTGCTTATTAGTTTAAAACCTTTTATTTAAAGGGTAAGTATTATATAAGGAACATTATAAATAATAGTAATATATTGGATGGATAATTTTGGATTTTATTTAATAGCTTAAAGTATAAGCTATAGGTTACTTTTTTTACAAAGGGTTTTTATAATTATTAATGGAGAAATAAGGGATTTTTTATATATATATATAAAGGTTAAAAATGTGGCCAGGTTAATTGGGTGGCCAAGTTAAGTAGGAAATATATTATATAAATAATATTTTTTTAATAATTTATATATTAAATAAAATATAATTAATCTTTTATAAGCTTTATTATAATTATATTATATAAATATTAAATGTTAAAATTTTTAAATTATTAAAAAAATAGCTTTATAATTATTTTTATAAATGCTTTTTAATTAGTTTAAATATTAAACCTTTTAAAAAAAATACATTAAAAGTATTATAATTTATAACGATTAATATTTTAATATTTAAATAAATTAAAAATATATAAAAAATAGTTAAAATATTTCTATAGGATTAAATTAAACTATTATTTTTAAAATATATAATAATATATTTCCTATTTAACCTAACTATTTAATTAACCTAGCTATATTTTTAACCTTTATATATATATAAAAAAAATCCCTTATTTTTCTATTAATAATTATAAAAACCCTTTATAAAAAAAGCAACCTATAGCTTATATTTTAAACTATTAAATAAAATTTAAAATTATCTATTTAATATATTATTACTATTTATAATATTCCTTATATAATATTTACCCTTTAAATAAAAGGTTTTAAACTAATAAGCGAAATATTACTTTTAAAAGCCCAATTAATTCCGGATAAAAAAAAATTAATCGTATAATATATCTTTAATTTTATAGTAAAATTATTTCCGCTTTTATATAATTATATAAAAAATATAACTAATTAATTAATAGCATTATAGGGTTAAAAGCTAATTAAAAAGAATTAAACATTAAACTTTATATAATAAACTTTAAATATTTAAATATATTTTAATTAAAGAATTAATTACTAATGGATATTAAATAAAAATCCAATTAAATATTATATTTAATTTATCCTTATATAAAAAATAATAAATAAAAATAACATTTAAAAAAAAGATATTTATAACTTTAATAAAATTAGGTTTATAATAAGTAAAATTATATTTAAAATAATTATAACTTTAATTAAATATAAATAAAAACTATAAATTATTTAACTAAATAATTTAAAATAGTTTATAATTATTTAAATAATTTTATTATATAACGCATCTCCCACTTGACCTGGCCACCCAATTGACCTGGCCACCCCAATAACCTATATAAAACCCCATTATTTCAATCTATAATAACTTTACGAATATTGATCGTACAATTGAATAATTAGTACCTTTATATCCGTTAGTTAAAGGGGAATCCAGAGGTATTTTTTACTATTTTTTACAAAATTTATTAAGCGAGATATTAAGCAATACGCTAAAGGGGCGCTAAGTAAGGATTAATTTAGCGCTTACTTTAGCGTATAGCTTAATAACTCCGCGAATATAAGTCGTATAAACTAATGAAGGGTACCGTTAAATAGCTCTTTTCATTACGAATCTAATGATATATTTTATTGTTTCATACGACTATTATTTGTAGAGTTATTAAATTATCACGTGATTAGCGCACCAACGTTTATTGTATGGGCTAGGGGGGTGGCCAGGTCAATTGGATGGCCAGGTCAAGTGGGAGATGCGTTAGTTAAATTATCCTATTATATATTATTTTAATAGAAAAAAACTACCTTATGCTTTAATATAAAAATAATAATATATTAAATAATTAAAAAATTATAATTATAAAAAATAGTTAAATAATAAATAAATAAGTTATAAATTAAATTAAGCATTTTAATAAATATATAAAGCTCTATATAAAAAAATATTATTACCTTTTTTTCCTTAATAATTATAAAAGCTATTATTTATATAAATTTAAATTATATTATAAAGAAAATAATATTATTATTCTTTATATACCTTTTTATTCCTTTTATTACCTTTAATTATTTAATATTAAAGTATTTAACCTTTTAAAACAATTATATAAAAAGTAAATTAAAAGCTTTATATAAATATATATTATTTATATTTAAAAGGAAGATTTTATAACTATATTTTTTTATATATTTAATAAAGTAATTATTTTAAATAATATATAAGGAGGATTTAAAAAAGTAGGTTTAATATTATATAATTTAAATTATATTATTAATTAATTAAATTATTTAATTATACTTTAAATTAACCCTTTATCCTTAATACTATTTAATTTTTATATAATTATAACTTTAAATAACTTAACTAAAGTTAATTCCTTTTTTAAATATATTAAATAAAGGATTATATAATATTAAAATAATTCTTTTATATTTATTATTAAAGGATTAGGTTAAATTATATATAATATAACTAATATTATATATTATTTTATATTATTAAAGGGAAAGGTTAAAAGCTTTTATAAAATAAATTATAAATTTAATAAATATTATTATATAAAGAAAATTAAATTATAAAATAAAGGATCTTTTATTATTAAAGATATTAAAGAGTAAATAAAGGTATAAAGTATTTTTAAAGTAGAAAATTGCATTATATGTTAAGGTAATTATTATATAAAAAGGAAGGAAATTTATATCCAACATTATAAAGTTTATAGTAAACCTAGCTATAATATATAAACTTATAAAAATGTTATAGAAATGTTTAATAATTTAAATTTAAATTAATTTAAATTAATTATATAAATAATTATTAAAATATTTTTAAATGTATATATAAAGGTTAAAAATATAACCAGGTTAATTAGGTGGCTAGGTTAAGTGGGAAATGCATTATTAAAAAAAAAGGATATTTTAAAGGTTAAATATAAAGCCCTTATAATAAAAAATAAACTTAAAATATTAAACTTTTTAATATTTAACCTTAAATATATTATAATAATACTTTTAATAGGTTAAAATCTTTAATAAAGTTATTAAAAATTTATTATAAATTATTATATATTTAATATATTAATATAAAGGTTAATTATTTAAAAGGCCTTAAAGGTATTAAACCTTTAAGCTAATAAAATTATAACTTTTAAAGTAAAGGTTTAATACCTTTAATTTAAAGTTAAAAAATTAATTAAATTAAAAAGAAAAAAGGTAAAAATAACGCCTGGGTATAAATTTATAAAGATATTAAATATATAAAGGATTAAACGTAGGGTATATAATAGGAAGATTTATAAAAATAAGGTAAGTAATTATAAAGTACCTGGAACTTTAAAAAACTTATTAGAAATTATTTAAGAGGATATTTCGGAGCCTAAAGATTGTATTACGGTTGTAACCGCCTAAAAACAGCGATCGCGATCGTTTTCGTTGAAAAATACGGCTTCAATTGAGTGGTGTTGGGTGGGTGGTGGGGTGGCCCGGGACCCTTGCGATTTGCTTAAGGGAAACAATGTACCAATGCTATTGCTCACAGACATTGCTACCGCAAAGACCTGGACGCAGATTAATAAAGAGACGGGATATGGTTATTGATGTAGTTTCAATGTACTTACCAACCCGATCACGATTAAATAGTCATCGATGCCGTACTTGGCCTCTTGAAGCCGCCGGGCCCGAAAGCGAAGGCAGACTGCTGCAATCGCTAGAACAGCAAAAGTAACAGATATGATGACGATATTGGTACATAGAGGCAGAGCCATGGCGAGGGGAAGCCAAATTTCAAGCGTGGATCAAATGTTAGGTTAGAGAACCTGGCTGTTAAAAGTGAGGAGAATTTTATCAGGTGAAGTGCTGCGCATAGGATAGACATAAAATTTACCGCTGCCAGGGCTCGAGCACATTCGCAAGCACCAAATTTTAATATACTAACCTAAGAAGATTCGGGAGGGGGCATGAAGTAGGCAGATTTCTGCTTTGTCGAATAACCAACGCATTAATAGATTGTTAGCTGCGGGACCATAGCCGATGCGTTGCACCCCCAATAACCGACATGGACGTTGAGGTGTTCATCGAACACTGTTCTACATACTCTCTACATGGTATACGCACCTACACCAGGTTACATGCATGCAGTGGGGTCGAGGACCTCGTAGCTAATATTACTGGTACGCGGTTCGCTATAACAGATGACTGCTGGTGAGAATTCGAGATTAGCTTAGTCGCAAGGCTCCTCGCGCGCTGCCTTGTGACATTTGGCCCCCGGAAGCTCTGAAAGCTTTGGAGTCTTCGGACCGACTGTTAGTATTCATCGACAAGATGCAAATGCATGCAATCCCACCATGCGCCTAACACAAGGCAATGGAGGATCAGCAATGAGGCAACCGCCGTAATACTACCGGGTTCCCCAGACGTAGGCCGCGGCTCGTTTGCAGGACACAGTTGTAACATTAATAATACTGGCTCTATTCCCAATATATACTATCGTGTTCAAATGCTAGTCACAGCTAGATCAAGGAGTCCCTACAGATTGGCGGCTCGGAAATAAAGGTGTGACACCTGTTAATTCTCTCGTCTCGGTCTACTCCAGGTCCTGGATTTCTCACCAAGAATGGCTGAACCCGAAAGTTCTCCGTTCCTCACGGAAATGGAGAGTGCGCCATTTCAGCTTGAAGAGAAACCAGGCCTTGCTCGACCATCCATAAGATCTCGCATTGTTCAAATATGCGCACCATTCAAATTCTCAATTATCTTGCTATCATTATTTTTTTACACGGGTGTGGTAATCATCGCTGCGCGGAGTAGCTCCGTTACCTGTGTGAATGAACGAACCTGGTGTGAGTCTCACAGCCTTTTGGTCGATAATAAATAAGAACGTTCGCTAAATTTTCCACTTATATAGCGCCGGCGCTCGAAGCATTGGAATGGGAGAACAGACACCTCGGTGCATATATACAATATGGAAATTATACCGGAGAGCCATCACAGCATGTGGATGCTTCTTGGAACAGCTTGTTGCAAGGTAATTAAATTGAACTCATAATCTTCTCATCGCTTTTTGCAGCTCACTAAGTTTATTCACAAGGGATGAGCATTAAGATACTTCCCGAAGAACTTAAGAGAATAGGTACAGCATCTCTTGAGCTGCGTGATGGCTCAGGATATATGGGCTCACTGGCAGTCTTTCATGAACTTCATTGTGTGGTAGGTGGGATCCAGAAGGAGGCTTACGAGTACTGGCAACTGATTTTTTCGCTAGAAAGTTCTACGTCAAGGTCTTTATAAAGACTTCTACTGGCGCAACTCAACTGAGCGCGAACTAGTTCTGAAACATGAACATATGGGTAATTTTCTTTGATCATTGGATTGTGTCATTAGTTGTATTCTGACCATCATATAGAGCACTGCTTAGAGGTGATTAGACTTTCAACGATGTGTCGAGGTGATATCAGCGTGATACCTTCTGTCTGGGAGTATGATAATCGTGAAGGGGGTTCAGGTGCGCTTCTTGGGCCTTCAATTCGTGATGGTAGAGCCTTACACAGATGTGTGAAGTGGGACAGGTTGCAGAGCTGGGCTAAGTCACGCCGCTTAGATCTATCGGATTCCACCTTACTGCTTCCTGACTCGGAATACTCATGAGTGGAGTATTTCTAGACAGCTTCATTGAGTCAATATAACACTAAATGTATATGGGGCCTGAGAGGTGTCTCTACAAAACATAATGGGTTTCCGATATCATTGTCTATCGTCTGATATTACTGGTGCCCACGCACCTACCCACTCTTTGACCTTCTCAAAATCACGACATTTGTGCTCAGATCCGAAACCTGTGACTCCCCCGAGATCCTTAATGACCGGCTCTAGATTGGTATCTGCGTGACACATGAGTGATTGTCGGAGATAATCAATGCAATGCCTCACATGAGCCGGCCTAGATACGTGAGAAATAGGAATACCATCTATGGCTGCCCAGTACGCTCGTCGTATAGCATTCTAGCTCTTCATTAGTATTTATTAACAGGTTAAATTTCAGGCGGTGTCTTTACTAAACAATGGAGTTGATGGAACACTGAGACGCCGTGAAGCTCTGCAGATATAGAAGGATGCTGAATGAAACCGTTTGCAGCTAAATGCTGATTAATGAGAGCCAGGAAGCGATAAATTTCTGCCAGGAAGCCATACGAGCCATTATTTCCGTCCATGGATCTTGGGTAGAATTATTAGGACGATCCGCAAATTGCCTCTGATAATCATATGTTATGCGGACATCATCAGGCGGCGCTATACGACTATGATGAGCTCAAGGAGATCCATACATCTTGAAACCCCAAAAATTGATATCTTGGAGAGGAGAGTCTTACAGAACCAGTCCATATCAAGAGAGTGTTGTTGCACGTGTTTGCCAATCATGAAGCCCGTGGCTCCGGCGAGGAGTGCACCACCTACTATGAAACTAAGAAATGGAATGCGCCACCACTTCGTGCTTACAACACAAGGATGAAGATTGGAAATATCAGATGAGTTATCCTCCTCGCTTTGCACGAGTTCTTCGTACTTGAAGTGGCCCGTCATCATTTATATGCGCTGGTGTTAGGTCTAGAGAGACTTTGATGACGGGACTGCTAAAAGAAAACGTGAAATAGAGGGGTAACGAGAGTGGATTGGTGCAGATAGTAGGGATTTTTGCTAATGGCGAAATCTTGACAGATCAATGTTGGGCGCTCATTGAAAGGCGACATTACTTTACTTAAGCGTTGGCAGAACTTGGATATGAGAAATACTACGCCCCATATTCATCAGGCGCCCGTTGGGCGATATCAATATAGACGTAGACTAGCCGAGTTAATTTTTCCTTCTATTAATATCTTCATGCAGGATGATAACAGGACTTGAGCAATTAATACTCAGTCGAGAGGCTCTGGACGAGAGCCTTGCTATTCAGCACCAAGTTTGATACTTTTTTATGTATGTAAGACTTGTACCTCCAACTGGATTATCGTTCGGTGAGTCGAGAGAAGATCCCTTCTTATTTGGATCGGACCGAATAATAAACAAGACAACGCCGTGGGGGCCTGCAAAACGGCTCCCAACAGGTTATGCATAATCTACTATCAAGCAGCCTAACGGCCCTCCCTCTTTCCGATCTTTGCCGCTCAGCCTTGAGACGTATAGTCAGGGTAGGCCGCAACAGTTGCTTCTCGCAAGTTGCGTATATAAGGGCGCTGCTTCTTATCTATAATACTGGTCTCCACGCAGAAACTTAATCCATCACTCAACCATTCCAGCCGACTACGTTACTAGTTCCCCCTCAAGCTACGGCAAAGGTTCTTGAGCGACCCACCCCCCTTATACAGAAACACAATGCAGTACGCCAAATTCCTTCTCACTGCCTTCATGGTATCATATGTGGCAGCCGCTGCCGTACTTCTAAAGCAGACCGTACGCGGTGAGTACTGTGGATCCTAACCCCCAACACCAAGTAGAAATTAGAGCGACCAGTGCCATGTGGCTGATAATCAATCGTTCGGCTGTTAGATGTAGCTCAAGAGGGCGCATCTGATCCTACCGGGGACGACGAAAAGGTCGTTTACACGCAGTGGACTCATGAGGAGACAGACTGAGAGCTTGGATTCTAGACCGCTTGCCAGTCTTGCATATAGTCGCACCATGCCGGCTATTGAATCGAGCCTGAAAGTTGGGTTAGTGTGGTCAAAAGGGAGTCCTGGTGTGCTGGATGCTGTTCCTCATTTAAGAGAATACGTCTAGGAAAGGACATAGCTATCAAATATCAGAGTTTCGAACGCGCACATCTCACAATGATTCAAATAATGAATAAGCTCCTCTTACTTATACCTACCTAGGTAGGTATCCTGTGCATGTCTCTAATACACGTATTGGCATTGTGCCACACTTGTTAAAAATAACGCCGTTAAACAATGTGCAGTCTAACGGCTATTATATAGGCCCACCTAGTACGACACATTGTTCCGACGTTTGCATGAGATACGTAGCCCGCGTGTAATAGTATCTATTTGTCTGACTATTTGATGTTGGTTAACTTGCCTACTAACTCCAGATTCAGCTTCAATATTTGCTTGCCACTGTGTTATGCCAGCAATGACGGATTAGCTGCCAAGCTTCCAGCCCTTTCCAGCCCAGTCCTACGATTGCCGTTGGCTTCAAATGTCTGACATGTTTCGTGATGACGGGTGAGGCTCCCGGATATTGGGTGTTATGGCCGATTGTTGGGGCCCTTTGTGTACCATGCATGAGGTCAATGTTGCATTGCTATGCTCACAGCCCCTCGCCGGATCGCGCGGTCGGCCTTCGGACCGTAATTGCACCTATGGTGTTGCAGAAGGCTCCTGTACCAGCGTACTAACTGTTGGTTACTCAAACAAACTGGCCGGCTACCTGGCTAAGCTGTTGATTTGAGGAGACAGGTGATCGCTTACATTAGTTCGTAGATGCCTAGGAGGTATGTAGGACTCTTGGAGCTGCTTGGTGCACTTCAGTATTTCCTACTCGAACCCGCGAAACGCGCCTTGTCATTCTCCCTTTTCCGGGCTTCATCCTAGTCCTTTCATCCTAGTCCTCCCCCTACCCCCATCCGAACTTGTGTTGCGCTACCAACGTACGTTGTGTGTCAAGATGTCCAAACCAACGCGCATCGCAGAGCTATCTGCGCGCATAGCTGCTAACACAACCGAAATCGACAACTTCCTGGTCTCGCAGTCGCTGCCTACCCCTTCATTCGACCCAGATGCGCCGCTAAATCTATTCCATCCCAATATTAATGGCCGTATTCTAGCTACTCGCGAGGCCATTATACAGGATACCCTTGAACTACGTGATCTCCTGCTTGGCCCTCGCGAACATCTATTTAGGAGCCAACCTAACTATCACCTTAGCGAGCTGGCCATCGTACGCTTCGGACTCGCACGTCTCGTCCCACTTAACGGCGAAATTACCTTCGCTGAGTTGGCTGTTGCCGCCGGCATAGGAGAATCGCATCTTCGGAGGTTGGTCCGTCACGCCATCACACAGCATATATTCCGCGAGCCACGGCCGGGCTTCATTGCCCACAGCGCCAGCTCGCGTTTACTTGCTGAGGATTCCGATGTAGCAGCCTGGGTCCGATGGCGTGCCGACGACTGTTGGCTTGCCGCCTACCACACGTGCGAGGCGATTGCACGCTGGCCCGCGTCTGAGGAGCCCAACGAAACGGGGTTTTCTCTCGCGAATCAGACCTCGCTTGGTATGTTCGAAGTCCTAGCCGCCGACCCAGAGCGTGCAGCACGCTTCGCTGCCGGAATGCGCCTGTATGCGGCGCGTCCGGATCTGGACGTTCGTTACCTCGTGGATGCGTGGCCTTGGGGCGGGCTAAAGGATGGCGCCACGGTAATCGACGTGGGTGGCTCTCATGGCGAGGCGGCGATAGCGCTTGCGCGCGCCTTCCCGTCGATGAACCTTGTCGTCCAGGACATCGACAAGCCCACGATCCTCGAGGCAGATTCGCGCAAGCCCGCTGATGTCGCCGACCGCTTGCGTTATATGACACACGACTTCTTTACCGAGCAGCCGATACGCGAAGCTGACGTGTATCTGTACCGCGCATGCCTTCACAACTGGTCAGATAAGTATGCCGTTCGCATACTGCGGGCGCTAATCCCAGCGCTGAAGGTGGGTGCGCGAGTACTGTTGAATGATGTGGTGGTACCCGGACCTGAAGAGATGTCGCCTGGAGCGGCGTCCGACGTACGATCTGGTGATTTAAATATGATGATGCTGTTCAATGCTGCAGACCGCGAGGTTTCTGACTGGGCCCGTCTTTTCGAAATGGCTAGTCCGGGGTTCCAGTTTAAGGGGGGAAAGCAGCCACCTGGGTCAGGTCTGTGGATTTTAGAGGCATCATGGAATGGGGTTTAAATCACACTATCCGTGCTGTAACGTAGGGTGCCCTAGAGCTGTTACTGTGCGAAAACCATGTCTCACCCTGATATTGCCTTCAGCCCTAACTTTTAAATGCAGGTATCTCATTAATAATAAAATCCAACAGATAGTCCGGTAGCTAGGGCTCTCCGCTGTCGAAATAAGGGTAGACCATGTCTTCCAACCATGCGACCATGCTGAGTTGATTTGATCTTTGCTCGGTATGAGAGGGCCACCGTCCTTGACGATCAATTGCTCTTTCTCCATCTTCTCCTAAACGTTCTACTCTTCTTCAGTCGTTGCCTCAGTTGCATTGGGTGACGACTCTTTGCTCTAGTTATATGTGTCAGATATAAGCGATGGCATGCAATTGGGTTGAATATGTTGTATTGGTCGATTTGTTCATGTATGTGTCCTCTAGTAGTAACCGCATTTATAGGTAGAAATGTTATCAGATTTAAGTTAATTACATAAAGTTTGGTCAGAATTGTCTGTTTATTTCTTCCAATTGAGAACTTCTATCTTCTGGCTCCCTCTTTTAACCCATGGGTTGCTAAAGCTCATGTTCACCCATTAAGCCCTCACCATAAATACGAAGAGCGCAGAAACTTTTTAAATTAGGCAACCTTCTGGACCGCTTTCATTGTCGCATTGCTGACCATCATCAGCATAGCATTTGGGATAGTGGGAATTGTGTATTCTGTCAAGTCATATCGAGTCGCCCTCGATTCATTAGACGTTGGTGTTCAACAGATTGAGCTTGCGATCGCAATGGCCTGTGCTGACACTGAAATGGCTGCCAGACTGCCCCAGTACTGTTCTGGAGCTTAACTTATATAGAATTCTCGCAAAGACTCGAATATATCAACATAGTTTCTCATTGTATGTAGCAAGCTCTAGTACGTTGTTTACCATTTGTTTTTTTTGTCGCTCTCCAATATACAATATCTATCACCGAAAATAGTATACATCTATCAGACAAGCAACCCCGCATATGTATTCTAATTACAACGAGTCCTCGGCATGGGGGCCGATCACTGCCTTAACGCCGGGTCGGAATCCGAATGCAACCTCGGATAATTAATAACGAAGCGATGGCTCTGGGGTTGTCTATATTCCGAGGAGGACCTAGACTCTTCGCTTCAGAAAAAAATTGGCAATGTGTGACCCAATAATCTATAACCTGCAGCACACAACGCATACGAACGCGTATTACAGCTGTTAATATTGAAGGATCCAACCGACCAAAGGCCATTAATGTAACCATTTGTCTGCTTTGAGATGTCTTTATGTAATTTATCCGCATGTTCTGCATGGGCTGAATGTTGCTATATGGAGCCTCGACTTCGTATTCATAACGTATATGGGGCTGGATCATACGACATGTAAATATAAAACCCGACCGTAAGTCTTCGTTCAAAAGGAGAGGGACTCATCTGACTCTGTGACAGCTCAACCTTCACACCTCAACACAAGACAAGTCTTGATCCGCGTCAAAATGATATACTTGGGGCTCAACTGGGCAACTTGTTCCAAGGCGATTGGAGTTCTGGTAATTGCAGGTTTCTTCAATGGCCAGCTGCAAGGGTGCGAAGCTGCCGTAATAGAAACGACCGCAATAGAAACAACAACAACATCATCGTCAATTAATCCATGGCCAACAGAACCGATCTGTGAGTCCCACGATAAGCGAATACAACTAAAAACTCCCTATGTCATATTCACCGAAACAAGCAACTTTGAGTTCTGATACACTATAGACACGTTTTCAAGCACAAATCAATGCATCACCACAGCTACGGCTGCACCCGACAGTGAGTGCATGCTAGCCGCCACCATTAGGGAATCCGATCCCGGGTTCGTCAAGAATTGGTGCGGCCGCAAGAGCTGGACAACAACGGAGACCAGGACTTTGACAGCGGACTGTGAAGGGTGCAACAGCTTGTCTGTAAGCGCGAGACGTGGAGGCTGTCCTTTGGGAGGCCATCATCCTTTACCGACCACGGCAGAGCCGACGCCGTACTACCTTTACGAGTGGGTATGTGCCACCTCAGAGGCTTCTAAACCCACTATTGCGACCTGCACGCCACCGGAGTAGAGGTATCCGTCTTTCGGAATCACCAACGGTACGGAAGCTCTGCCGGAAATTGAGATTCATGACGATGAAAGGATTGTGTTTAGAATAAGAGACCCAATTCCGGCATCAATTTCCTGAAAGTTCAAATGCCATCGCTTCTAGGCCGAAGTACCTAAACAAGCGACTGGTGGCTAAGACGTGGGTGACACTGGCACCGTGAACGGTGCCGCTTATGTACAGCAACGGCTGATAGTAAGTGGGTTCATTTTGAATAGGACTGAAAGACGGGTGGATATCAGATCAAGGGATAGATTTGAAGCAATTTGTTAACGCGTCGTTGCGGGTGGAAAATGATCTTCAGACCTGCTGGGAAGAATCCTCCAATATCATAGCGTTCTACACTAAGACCTACGCTCATAAGCTTCGAGATCTGAAGCTCGTGTGATCTAAACAGTCCCGTTTCCATTTTCATGAATCGCTTGTCTATTTTCAGCACCTTTTCTGCCCTCGGCCGCCAGTTTCAGCTGTGCCTCGTGCTTCCTCTTTTTCAACTCGATGCAGAACTTGGATCCCGCACGGATACGTTCGCCCTTCCAGATAAATATGAATGGAACAGCGCTAAGGAGAAGGCTGAGTCCAGCTAGGAGACTACAAGCTCCACTGATCCCAAGCCGATTGAAGAGAGGGGTGCTGGCTAATGGTAGGACTACAGCTACCAGAGATCTCGACGAGCTGGACGCAGCATTGGCACTTGCAGCGTAAATCTCGTATGCATCCGTAACTATATCGTCGAGAGTTAGTACCATCGTACCAGTTCATGAATTTACACACTGGGTGGCCTACGGTAGTTAAGCATCCCAATGAATACCAACATGAACCCTATCCCAAAGCCGATCCCAGACAGAGAGGGAATAATATAGTGAACACTTAGCTTGGCAGAGAAACCAAGCCAGAATAGCGACACGACGAAGACTGGGCCACCGAGAATCGCCAGAGGAACTCGGAGATGTTCTTCTTTCATAACCCAAGGACGGTTCTCGGCGATGGCTTTGCGAAGGTGATTATCCCACATGAAGAATATCCCTAGTGCGATAATGGAACCGAGAGCGATTGGCAAAAAGAGCAGTCCAGCAACACCAGCAGACAGGCCATATAGGTCTTGGAAGATGATGGGGAATGCCGTGAAGGAAATGTAGAAGATGGCATAGAGGAGAGCAAGGTAAGCGCAGGTAGCCGAGACGATGGGCTCCGTTAGGATCATTCGAATAGGTCGTGTTAGCACCCGAGTCACAACAAGTCTGATATTTCTGTCCTCAAGCTCAGCGGTAGCGTAGACCTGGGAACTTGGATCCTCCTTGCGTATCTTTTGAGCCCGTCGGGACAGAATCACAGCTGCGTAAGTCTCTGGTAATATCATAACGACGAGGAACGTGACACCCGCGTAGATAAGGGCAACCCAGAAGGTCCAACGCCACCCGACGGTGGTCGAGCAGAACCCACTGACGATCGGAGCCAACAATGGACCACCCACGGTCACCGCCATGAAGTAGGCAAGTGCATGACCTCGAGGCACCGGGTCATCGTATATATCGGCAATTTGGCCGGTGGTCACAGTAATAGGAGCACTGGCGAATGCACCACAGAGCAGCCGGAACACCAGGAACGCCGGCCAGCTGGTAGCGAGCGCGCAGGCCAGTGTCCATACAGTGAACGCAAAGAATGTCACTATAGTCACACTTCGACGTCCTATATGCTCGCTGAGTGGACCCCAAAGAATGGGACCGAGGACGTAGCCGATTAAATAGGTTGATATGGGAAGACCTTTCTGGGTGGCCGAAGTCACTCGCCATTCGGCCGTGATATACGGGATGGCCATACTCGGCAGCGCGCTGCCCATCGTGCTGTTGATGACTATCATCATGGTCGCTATCACGAAGAGCGCCTTGCGTCTCTGTACAGAAATTAGCTGGGTACAGTAGGCAGGCAGGCAGGCAGGCAGGTATATATTGAGAAAGTTGATGACCAAGTACGCACGGGTGCCCAGTTGTGAGGATTCTCTGGGTCGTTGTTCTCCCACGATATGATGATCTTGTTGTTGTTGTTGTTGGCGTCATGGATGGAATTGGAAGCCAACTCGCTGCCTGATGCTTTCTCGACCTCTGGCTGTTCGATTTTGTAGCAATTTGTCGCATCTGGATTGCCTATAGGGCTGTCCATGTCTGCAAGGTGGCCCGGGGCATAGTCAAGAGGTACGGGAACTGTGTTTGAAGAACCGTGGGTGTCCTTCTCTAGTGGAGGGTTTTGGTTAGACATGGTGTTGACAATGTCGTCAAGGACAAGCAATAATATTGCCCAGTTGACTTTATAGTAGGTATTTACCGTATCAACCTACCTACCTGCTAGGTACCATAGCATGAAAAGGAGGGGGGTTATATACCTACCTAGGTAGTCAGGTCCTCGTGTATGACTTGGGAATATGTAGCAGAGCCTGCCTGATGGAGTCCAAGGAGACGAGCCACTCATCGTCCGCAGTCATAAGGTCCGTTGACAAGACCAAGTACCTATATGTACTCCGTACCTTGGTGGTACATACCTACCTAGGTAGGTAATGAAATCTCGGTTGAATAAAGAAGTATAGTCCCCCTCGTGCTACCTGCTAATCAAGTACCCATGTACATAAGATAAGGTACCTACTGAAGTACCTACATACATATTATGTAGTAGCACTTTCATACAATTCACCCAGAAACACACTGGTTAGGATGACCCTTGATTTCTATTTTCTATACCGAACTTTCTAATTGCCCCGTCCAGCCTAAACATATCGTCTGCTTTCTCGTTGCACGCACATGCCGAGAAAACTCAAAGCCAGAGCATTAGCTAATACTGACCGACCGCCATGCCTCGCAACCCAGTAAACTCGGTTCCTTTGCAAGGAGCATCATTGGACAAGACCCGATGCTCAGGTACCATCCCGTCTTTTGTGGGAATCTGTAGGAAGATCGTCTCCGTGATTCCAGGGTAGAAGCTTCCATGGCCTCGTCGGCTCACTGTCGCCGTATCTTCGAAAAATAGCACGCCTGACTCGCCTGCATTCGTGGTCACGCTGATGCTGCTGTTGTCTGCTAGTTCAACTACGGCGACACCATTCAAGACGATTGCCCATCTTTCATGATTAGCGATGATCGCACATCAGTGCATGAGCACCCGACTTACTGGTTGCTCGGTACGGTGTGAAGTCCGCTATCATAACCAGCCGGGATGACATTATACGTCATGTTGGTAACGTCGCCAAGGACAACAGCAGCAGTCCCAGCGATTCCGAGTTGGTTTGAGTGCTCGAACGGCGTGGAGAGTTGCCAACATTCAAAGTGACTGGTGTTGTCTCTAGTACTGATTGCGGTGAAATTGAGACTGGTCGCGGCCGAACCTGCGATGGCGCTGATCATCGACAGCCTCTGGAATATCGTACAAGTCCTCATTGTGTCTCTGGATGCGTTCCGGTCAAGAACCCAGTGTAAGTTCGGGCAAATTCGGGGAAATGATACCAGGCTTGACTCTAGAGTGTTGATTCATCATGAATATATCTCCTTCCCAACGGACAGAGGGGAATTATTTATATTTCTTCTGAACAAGGGCTTTCGGTCTCAGGGGAAGGCGTCAGGCAGAATGTAGTAAGTTAGAATACCCCCCCCAAACGATGCCCCCAATCTGAATACGACTCCTGTATCGTTGCGGTTTCATTTTCGAAGGAAGGAAGCCGAGCATATAAATATAGTGCTCTACGCCCCGCTGATTCCGTCAGATTATTCGTAACAACAAGTGTAAGTGTTACATGGGCTATTCTGCCTTCGGCAGCTGACTGAACCGGCCTTAGACATCTTGGAATGAGGCTGCTCAGCCCCACTGACCTGAAATCTTTGGCTGAGTTACGGTATGGAGGTTAACGATACCTACCTATTTGTCTCGAACGGCAAAAACGACGCCGTTAGACGTTCGAGCGGTCTAACGGTTATTATATAGCCCCACCTACGTTCAACAATTTGTATATAAATAGACCTGGGTTAGCCGCAGAGCTAGAAACCTTCTGATTTGCAGAATTACGTGGGTCTTGACTATTATAGTAGAATATCCAATTCTGAAAGGAGTTAGATTCGAGACACGAATGTAGCAATCTGCTGTCCTCACAAAAGTTAGTGAGTACTGGTATTGAGAGATAAGAGAAGCACATGAGTCTGATATCACGAAAGTCAGCGTACCTGTATCAACTTGACTAGTTTATCGAATTAAATTATCTACATAGCGTTTATGGCTTAGGAGACGAGTAAAGGCTGTGAGAGTAAGTTTATAACAGCTTTAGACAGCCCGAGACTATTCAGAGCCTCTGTGCAACAACACGAAGTTAACCTTTGTACCAGCAAGCGATATTGAGGGACAGAACATTCTTTGCCTGGTTGATCAGACTTTACTCATCGTCTATATGTAGAGTCTCTCTCGTTTTACGTCTCCGCTGCCGATAGCCTGCTTATCATCTTTCCTCTCCAGCCAAATAAACCACCCGTACCCAATACTAGCGATGACACATAGGGCGCTGAATGAGATACACAGAACATAGCCCGTATGATAATAGGGTGCATCCTTCTTCAAGAAAGAAAAAGTGGCAATAATACCACCAAGGTTACCAAAGCAGAGAAGCCACGCTGAACCAATGCTACGCTCAACATGACCTTGAAGATTCATGACATACCAGCATATCATATTGCCGCCAATGCCCAGTGTTCCCATTGCTACTAGGCACAATGCGGCGTATTTGATAGAGAAAGAAGAACCATCATGAAATACAATCAAAATTGAAAGGCCAGTTATCAATAAAGCTAAACCGAAGAGAATGAAGGGGAGACGTAATCTGGCCTTGTCCGAAATATATGCTGTTACTATAGCGAAACCAAAAGCCGCAGCGAACGGAGGTACTGAATGTAGCTGAGTTTCCACGGTGCCGTATCCAAGGCCTTGTACGATCGTAGGGATGAAGAAAACGAATGAGTAGGAAGGTATTAGGAGCGCTATCACCGAGAGTTAGCTTGAGACACGATGAACATCCCTATTTATGGTGTTTAGCTTACCGAGATACATGATTCCGGCAACCAGGTTCTTTGGCTTGGCAAGAAAGAACGAGATGTCCCGAGCAGTAACCGGAACGTCATGAGACTCGCTCGCCCCTGTTTTAGCTATTAGAAACTCTCTTTCATTGTGAGAAAGCCACTTTGCCTCTCTGGGAAAGTCAGTGATAGAGAAGAATGCGATGAATCCGATAAGAACTGTTGCGATGCCTTTGAGTAAGATCGTGGTTAGTCTACCTGCGAGACTTCAACCTCTAGTAGGCTGTTGATAGCATAAATACCTTCCAATATAAAAACCCATCGCCAACTGCTGAGGCCTCGTACACCGTTGAGTTTTGAGATCGCAGAAGCAAGCAGACCACCAAATGCTCCGGCGATTATCGTACTCGACCAGTAAAAGGTGAATCGTTTCTGGGCCTCATCTTGTTTATACCAGAAGCTGATGAGATAGAAACTCCCGGGGAAAATACCTGACTCGGCGAGCCCTAGAAGAAATCGCGTTGCGAGAAGGCCTGAGTAAGATTGTACGAAGCCTTGTGCAATCGTAACAATACCAAATACTATAATACAGCTTGGCAACCATATATGGGGATTGAATTTCTTTAGTAGGATGTTGGACGGGATCTCAAAGATGATATATGGAATGAAGAAGATCGTGAGGGCAATATTCGGTTGTTGATCGGTGAGCTCGAGGTCTTTGGTCAAGCCTAACGTCAGAGCGCTTGAAATGTTTACCCTGACGACAATTAGAATATGAGTTGCGTGGTAGGCAAGGACGTACCGATCGATGAAAGCTGCTACATAGATGGCAAAAAGGATTGGCAGGACGTGCACATCTATTTTGCGCAGCAATTTTCCGTGGTCAAATTGAGGGTCTGTTTCTCGCACACTCAGCTGCGAGCTTGAGCTGTTTCTCACACCAGCTCGCACGGCTTTAGCCTCGATCTCTTCGCTAGCAGACATATTGTTGGATACACTTCAGATGCTTGAGGAGAAGGGAAGGGGGTGATGGGATGCTACCTGAGCTGCGGAAAGTGAAATGAGGGGTAATATTGTATCACCGTTTCGGTGGGCAATGGGCAGTTTGCTGGAACCCCCGACGTGCCGTGGTCTGACTGAGCTCATTGGCACCGCTACTACCTTCTGTTGGTCAGTGAGTGCTGTCTGCAATGCGGTACGGAGTAGAGCCCAATGATAATGAAGTGAACTCGTTTCTGTAAGAAGTCTCTGCAGGCTGGCAATTCTGCCTGCGGGCTCGTTGTGACGCACGCCACGCCGTCATCCTCCTTGCCGAACCTGCGTGCAATGCTGAGGCACCATTTATCAACATGTCACTTCCAGTACACAGTTCACGTCTACTGTAGAGTTTGGCTTCCAATCGGGGAAGACCCATAGCGGGCCCCCAAAGCCTCGTCTCTCTCCTGTCTTTGCCAAGACAGCCCTGACAGGGGGCTTGGTAGAGGGAGGGCAGAAATAGGAGGTAGACCACCAGTCTCTGTATCGCTACCTACGATGGCTTACTTCCTAAGTATGCTGCAGTACGAAGATCAGGGAGCGAGCAGCTATGACCTGCATGTTGAACCAACAGGTTCACCTGGCAGCTCGTGTTGGCCATCTAACATTGTGTAACAGCGTTTCGGATTCCATTCACTTCCAGTGATGGATTTAATCAAAACTCTGTCATCTAACCTTGGAAGCTCAGACAGCGGCACACCCCATTCTTGGCTTCACTTTGTCAATGGCATCCATTGGCTTTGAGAAAGATTTGTGTGTTCAAGCATAATGGCAACGACTACACAATCAACCCCTGCGCCAGCTTTACCTCCTCCTCCTGGCATTACGTCAAACTTCGAGCATCCGCTATCTCTAAAAGAACAGAACAACATTGCCATTGGAGTCGCTATCCCTTTCTTGACCATTTTCTTCGCACTCCGCGTATACACCAGAATCTGGATTAGACGGTCATGGATATTTGAGGATTGTAAGCAAAGCAAGACACCAAGTCCCGTTCACAGAGGCCATGTACTTAGAAGCTTTACAGGGCTTGCCACTATCGCATTCGTGGGTCATAGTCATAGTCATGTAAGCCATTGCAGCTCCACATCATTAACTTCATAACAGATAGGAACAATCTCATTCTGCGGAACCGGAGCTGCTACTATGAACCACAATGGCGGAAAGCATGAATGGGATATAACTCGTGCTGACGCTCGTGAAGCGTCTTATGTGCGTCAAATACTTCCCATAGCCTTCAATTCAGTGGAGTTAATACTAAGCCGGACCCCGAAAAGTGGTTCAATATAGCTTCCATCCATTACGGCATTACCATTTGCATTGCGAAAGTTGCGGTCTTGTGGCTTTACCGAAGGGTATTTTCGCCTGTTCGATGGAGCCCCTTCGACCTCAGCATTGTGTTTCTTATCGTTCTCCTATCACTATTCTACACTGCTGTCAACATTGTCAAAATCTGGGAATGTGTTCCAAGGGAGAAAATATTCGATCCGACCATACCAGGCCATTGCATCGATACAAGCATGCTACTGAATATCAGCGGGCTCTTCAATACAGCTACCGATTTTATTATCCTATTGCTTCCTGTCAAGGCAGTATGGCACATGAATATGAACCTCAAAAAGAAAACGACAGTCGTATTAGTCTTTACATTTGGGTTGAGGCACGTGTTCAAGATTCATTAACATACATGACGACTTACATGTTCCAGTGCTCCTGCTTTCAGCTTAGCAGGCGTTATTGTTCGCATTAAAGGGAGCTCAAACCCAGATAAGACCTGGGTCCAGCCAGAGATTATTCAATGGGGGTAAGATTTCTCTGTCTAAACAGCTCAAACTAAACGTATCATCGTTGACTTGTTGCAAATTAGACTTGCTGAGCTCACCACGGCCGTCCTTTGCGTCTGCTTTCCAGAGCTTGGACCCCTTTGGAAGAAGCAAAGACCACCAAAGGGTCCAAGTTCAAGCATCCTGAACGGTAGACTGAAGAACATCTTCTCTCGGAAGGAAAAACGCAGTGACCTCTCAACAGCCACTTCTTCGTATTATACCGCAAGCAAGATTGAACAGGGTCCCAATGTGGAATTGGTAGAAAACCCTTCATGTAAAAATCAAGTTGCTCTTCAGGGGGCCAAACCCGCCAGGGGAAGGGAGCAAGAAGCAGCAGAGAATAAGGCTCGAAAAGCTGGATTCTAAGCAGAAATCGCATGCGTGTTATAAAACAGTAATAACACTGCAATGCCGTGTATGCTATGGGCTAATGCCATCGGGAAATTGCCTTTGGCAGTTGCCGAACAATTGGGAAACGGATGTTCCCCCTATTAATCAGGCCTACTGACGGAGTTGTATGTAAGGGCGGGGAGCTGGAACACGGATGAAGTTATGAACGAAAATTTAAGAAAGCAATAATCAATGTCCTCTTTGTCTTTGCTGGGCTACCAAATTCCTACCCCTTTTCTCACGATTTATCAGAAAGGCTAAATAATGTCTTACAAATAAGGGATATTCTCACTTGAACAGTGAAGAACAAGTCAAAACAGTACTAGGGTATCGCAAGGTACAGATGAATTTCAGACACCCCGAGACCATCTCTAGATCTAGGTAGCAGATATACGGGCATAATTGCTAGGAGTCATGCCCTCCGTGCGAGTCTACAAGCAACGAAGATATTTAGGGGGCGTAAATTGCCACTTGATACGTTTATGACTTCTAAAGTAAGTGCAAAAGCTCTGGGCATAGGTACCCATACATACCCAAGAATGTAATTTAATAGTGGGCGCTGAAAGTGTAATGAAGATGGCGACTGTGACAGCGCTCACATAGTGGATTTGGTTGATCTGGCGGGGGGTCGCTTCAAAAGCCGTGAAATAATCTGTCTTATTGGTTCCAGGGGCTGCCCCCTAGCGCATGCATGCCTGCATACCTCACTCTCGAGCTTTAGTATATAATGTGAGTATGTATGACTGATCTCCCTATGACTCTCTTTTCCACTCCATACCTTACACTGCCTGCTCTTCCCCGTTGCCAACATACACATGGCTGCCACGCACGAGACTTCTCTTCCGGAACGGAACCAGGGGTGGTTCAAGGAGCCGCTCACTGAAGTTAACCAACCAATCCGCCAGCTCCTAGAGGGCTATTCCAAAATTCCTGCGTCCGAAGTTGTGTCACATGTCAACAACATAGTGAGTTCTTGCGCTGATCTTGGGCAAGTTATGGACTAAGTGTGTCTCTTAGCGAGATCGGGGATTTGCGGCAAACCCGTACCCTTGTATTGGACTGTACCGTTTCACCCTACTTACACTGATTGATCATCCCTTATACGGTACCATTGTGAGGCGCCTCAAGCAGGCAGACGCGAGCTACCTCGATGTTGGCTGCTGTTTCGGGCAAGATCTTCGTCAATTGGTTTTCGATGGTGTGCCATCACAGCATTTGGCTGGCCTGGACGTTGCACAGCCTTTGATAGAGTTAGGCTACGACCTATTTCTTGACCGCGACTTACTTCATTCCGAATTTTTGGTCGCCGATGTTTTTCAGGGATCTACACAGCCAGCCTGGAAAAGACTCGAGGAGCGTGGTATTGATGTAGTGCATTGCAGCGCATTTTTTCACCTATTTCCCCTTGAACAGCAAATGACGGCGGCTCGACAGATCGCGAGGCTCGTTAAAAAAGGGGGGGTCGTTGTAGGGCGTCAGATTGGTAGCTGCAGGCCAGGGGATGTGGCTGCCATACAGGAAAAAACGTACAGCTATCGGCATGATGTATCTACTTTTGATGATATGTGGCGTAGAGTGGGGGAGGAGACGCAGACGAAGTGGAGGGTTGAGGGTACGTTGGATATGGTTGGGATTAATCCCGACAGCCCAGTCGAGAACGAGGATAGCCGTCGACTACTTTTCACTGTCACTAGGCTGCAGTAGCCTGATTGGCTGCTACTACCAAGATGGAGGTAACGAGGATTCGGGTCACAGGAGAAAAATACACATTCGGAGGAAGGCTGCACGAGGCTTTTCATCTCATCTCGTTGTAATTAAAGTGCGTCTAAGTGCGGCAGCTGACACAACGTCGGCCAATCCATAAATAACTACCGATTCATCCACATCAGCGATTGTTACGTTACTTTACGCGTTCCCTATATGGCGTTGTTTTAATCCGTCAGTAGTCGTATTCGGGCGGCTGGCTGTCTCAGGACGAGGGGCTACCTATTGCAACGTCGGTGAACTTGATAGATAATAAGCGTGCAGTATCTAGCGAGACCACAGAGACAACCAATCGCGGCTTCTACATTAGAATGTGACGGTGATAGGAGAGACACAAATGTAAGGAGGATGGGGTGAAGGAAAGGCAATTTCATGCCCTCTGAAGTATGCCTTTAACGGACGATTTGAACTTCGGATCTAGTGCAGTAGGCAGGAAGCTGAAGCCAACTAGAATAGAGTGTTTAATGCGATTACAGGTAAAAGTTGCCTATAACGATATCTTGGCGCTCCGAAGTTCAAATAACCGTTCAAAGGCAGTTAAAGGGATACCGCAAGTCACTACTGAGCTTGGATCTCTTTGAAAATAAGCAACAACGTATCATTGCAGAAAGTATGTATACGGAGTAGCAAATCGCAAAGACTGTCGCAATATTGGCTCTGTTAGCCTGAACATGAAGTGAAGAGCTACTAAATCCACCACAACCGTCAAGAAAAGGGTCAGTCTAACGCCATCATTTCAGGTTACCGGAAGACAGCAGAGCCTTAGTCAATCAAATTATCGGAATTTGCTATTGGGAGCGCCTATATCAGCTGCCCACCTATGTAAGATTGCCGATTCTGAGCCTGATTGAACACATACCGGATTACAACCCGGGGTTGTCGTGAGATCTGTTGTTACCCACAAGGCCGTTGTGCCTAAGCTAGGTAGTATACAGTACATATATAGTCCTAATGTCTCTCATACTCATAGTGGTAAGTCAAACCCATGCATATCTATTATACCCCTTCGGCCTCCATGACACCTCTGCGACCTGCTAAGGTTTTACATAGCGAATCAGAGCATATTAGATATGTACCGTAGCGGTTTCAATACCAAGGGTACCTAATGCTATACTAAATGCGTATAGATTAACGGTAAAAGCTAAGTAAATTTAAGCTTTTATATATAGATCTGTTAACAAAGCTAAGAGATACTTGAGACCCAATTCAAAATGTCCCGGAGGTGTCGTGGAGGCCAAAGCAATAGCCGATCTACGGTCTGGGACACCTGTGAACCATCATATCCGTCACACAGATGAAATAGGACCGAGTAGAAGGTCAGACAAGGCTAATGTGACTCAAACCCTTTTCATAGTGTTGTTCGAGTCAAGGTTTCATTAAGGATTTCCCACTACCGTAGCAACGAGCCTCGGGCGTAAGCTCGCTTCGGTATATGTTGCTTTTCCGACAACTCTTCGTGGTATCTGAGAGGAAGAAAAAAAGTATTGCCGGGTCACCTGGGTTCAAAATAGCACTTTGTTGTCCTAGTCCAAGACCTGCCTACTCTCGATGTGCAATCAATAATGTTGTGGTGGCCTGAGCTGAATTCGATCAAGCGAAATAAGCGGTGAGACATCGAACATTATGATTGATGTCTACGTCATGCTCTATTAATGCTCAAAAAACCTCCATATCACAAGATTCACAAGCCTCGAAGGAAGTAAGGCTGTAGCTCAAAGTGGGACGTCCAGGATGCCTATTGTAAGTACCCATGCAAGTCCTTCCCGCTACTACACTACCGTACCTATCCTAGCCTTTTGGTGCGAAAGTGGCGGAGTAGCGACCGAAAGTGTGTCAGCTTAGAGAGAATCGTAATACTGTACGGAGTATTTCCTAACATTATAGAAACAACACGCAGTTGGAAATGACAACGTGGCATTTCCCATCTAAGTGATATTTCCACTAATTCTCAGCGCTAATGCTAAATAAAAGATCATTTATCTAACAAATCCTGTGGAAACTCTCCTTACTTAAAGAAGGACTACGGTACGTTACATATTAACGGCGCATTGTTGGTATAATCTCAGACAATAAGGTATTCTGGCCATATTGGTGACCAGCATCATATGCAAACTAAATCCTACTCTGAGCCGGAGGATCCAACAGCATGCCCAGTTGACATGTCTATCTCGAGGTTACATGAACAGTATGCCAAGATAGCCTCTTCGTAAGTACTACGTGATGAGGAAGCAGGTCTAGGAACCAAAGCATGGGTATGGATTATACAGATGGAGACTAGTCTACAATCACTCGGTTTTGGAACTGCCAGTAATACCAAAAACATCAATGCATTATTCTTCGCTCTTTGAATGCTCAATATGTCATAAAAGCGGCGTGTATCTGCCTTGCCTACCGACATCTTGTATCACAAAGTCTAAGTTAAGCAACTAATCACTTTAACACTAACTTAATTTGAGAGCGAGACTCAAATATGCCTATGTTAGTTGATTTTCAACCCAATGAAAAAATATTTACTCACACTAAATAGGTCGAAACGGCCCTGGGAGAAATATGCTCCCTTCATTGGCCCTAAACTTTCTGATCGACAGTGGCCATCAAAGAGAATCGAGAAAGCACCAAGATGGCTCACTACAGATCTTCGTGACGGCAACCAGAGTCTAGCGTGCCCAATGGTGAGGAATTATATTGAACTTACAAGGGAATTACCGCTGATATTCAATACAAGACCATTGAGCAAAAGATGACGTACTTCGAAATGCTAGTTAAGTTGGGTTACAAGGAGATAGAAATCTCCATTCCCACTGCAAGTTCAACAGAGCACGGTTTCACACGCAAGCTTATAGAAACGCCTGGGGCTATTCCAGACGACGTATGGGTGCAGGTCTTATGTCCTTGTCGACGGGATCTTATAAGCTCCACAGTACAGAGTCTCCGAGGTGCCAAAAAGGCCATCATCAGTCTGTATTTTGCGTCAAGCCCAGTTTGGCTGGCCACAGTATTCAGAATGACGGAACAGCAAGTATGCAATAAGGTCACCGAGGCTGTAAGCTACGTAAAATCCATCACTAAGGATGACCCAGAGACTCGAGGTACAACTTGGAACCTAATGTTCAGTCCTGAAGCGTTTTCCACTAGCAGCTTGGATTTTTGCTTGCAGTTATGTGAAGCTGTCAAAGCAATCTGGGAACCAAGTATCGAAGTTCCCATGATTCTCAATCTTCCTGCCACAGTGGAATCATCGACACCCAATGTCTATGCTGACCAAGTAGAGATCTTCTCGAGGTCAATATCAGACAGAGAGAAAGTCTGTGTATCACTTCATGTCCACAATGATAGGGGCTGTGCCGTGGCTGCGGCGGAATTGGGACTCCTGGCCGGGGCAGAACGCGTCGAGGGTTGCCTGTTTGGAAATGGAGAGCGGTCTGGAAACGTGGACCTGGTCACATTAGCGCTCAACCTCTATACTCAAGGAATTGACCCAGGTGTCGACTTCTCCGACATCCCATCATTACGAGCGGTGGTAGAAGAGTTAACTCAAATCCAGGTGCACCCACGAGCTCCCTACACAGGAGAACTGATTTTTGCCGCATACAGTGGCGCACACCAGGACGCTATTCGTAAGGGACTCCTTCAATATGAACTTGATCCAAGCAAGTCTCAGAATTTGTGGAAAGTGCCTTACTTGCCACTGGACCCCGAGGACCTGGGATCAAGCCGTTCGGAGATAATACGATTAAACTCTCAGAGTGGCAAGGGCGGTGTTGCCTGGACTCTCGCGTATGAGTTACATGTCAAACTTCCTGATATGTTACAGTACCAATTCTCCAAAGTCATCAAAACTACTTCGGAAGCTGCTGGTGGCACCCTATCGTCCGCTAATGTTGCCGAGCTTTTCCTCAAGCACTACAGTATTTCGCAACAGGATCCTCGAATCGTCGTAGCCGAACTCAAGCACATAGGTAATTTCGTGTGCCATGACCAAGTTTTAGTGGATGATACCAACTATCCGTCTAAATTTACAGAAACGATGATCGACATCAGAATCCACGCGCTACTATGTATCGGCGGCAAACAACAACGGCTTCAGGGTGAAGGCAGAAATGTAAGCAGTGCCCTTGTCGGAGCTTTGAAAGGTGCCTCCTTGGGAAAATTCACTTTTCGTATAAGTGAATGCGCACTGGATCCTCCCCAGGGGGGGCTGACTACATTTATTGTAGTTGAATGTCAATCGGCCGACCATGATAGGTCGGGTTGGGGAGTACGTAGCGGAACTCTGGGGACTACGGCTGAGTTATCTGCTGCCTTATCTTCTTTGCTTGTATGCTTTACTATCCATCAACACGTTGCAACCTTGAGCCTCAGTACTAACACGACGCAGGATATTTATGAGGCTGAGCAAGGCATTGATTAGCGGCCAGGAGACGTGTAATATTGAGGTCGATTTCATCTCAGCGACATCCATTTCGTCCATCCCTGGGATTCTCGTTCACAAGTACTTAGTACTCTGGACTTCAAAACATGTAAAGAGTGGCCCTGAAGCAATCTGCTCAGCCAGAATCTCCCATCACTCGCTAGATTAGATCAATCAATAGCTACGGGTAAGATGGCGGTATCGAGCTAGCCATAAGATGATACCTCTATTACCATCATCGTCGCAGCAAAGAACTATCGATATATAGTTACAGCGTAGCCTGTAGAAAACTTTGAAACGCTTTTGCACAAACAACAACGGGTGTCCTCTACCTTCTCTAAGTAGCTTAGTCCCGAGCTGGGCTAACAATACCATCAAACACATTAAGTATATCTTGGGTACCTATGTAAGTACTTAGGTACATAGCTAGGTAGTAAGTATATCGTTGTTTCGATGACACCCTGCAAAAGCTATGCTTCGTCCATTATCGCTGCGACTCGGCACTAATTAAAGAGTCGAGGATCAGCGCTTGCCCGATTCGCAGTGAGAGAGATCCCGATCCACCTCCGATAAAAATACCGGTTTCAAAGTACAAATATATGGAAAGGTGAACTTCACATTGTCCCTGGTCCTGGTGTTTCGCCTCGTAGCCTGCCTTGGCTCTGCACGTCAGGTTTTTCGGTGCAACCGGCGCTCGGAATGGTGATGCTACAATTCACAGCATTACCCACGTAGTAGACAAAGGCGATGGATATTTGGGGGCGTCAGGCTTGGCTACCTCCGTAGGTACCTTCACTACCCAACCCATATAACATAATAGGAGACATACGACTAATACGTACATTGTAGGTAGTCATACAGCCTTATCAACATCGAAATAATTGAATCCTTTATATAGCCATCACTAAACCGCTTTCAGAGGTAGTATTGCTTACGTACCCCTGTCCCACCTGTATCCTGTCACCAGACACATGGACACCGAGAGGCTTTGCCTCACGCAGTGACGAGCACAAAGGGGTATAAGAGGTGGCAAAGCTCCTCAAGAAGCGAGGCTGGTATGACTGATTATCTTTCGACCTAAAATCTTCTGGCCCTGTGCTCAAGCGGCGTTCTGAACCAAGTGTTAGCAGTATATTTTCAGTTCTTCGTGGGCGAACCAACGCCCTGTCTGGATCCGTGTAACCATGGATGAACCGCTGAAGCTACCTCGACAATACCCCTCCTCAACACATGAAGTTGTTGTTGTGCTCGAAGACGTACATCTGTCCATTGACGGAGACATTGATACTGGCTCTCGGTCATATGAGCTCATCTCGTATCATTGCATCTCTAAACCAGATGAGATATGCGATCGCATACAATGTGCCAGCATTGTCATTGCAACTCAGTCTTTTATCACAAGCGACAGCTTGGGTGAGGCTCCGTATCTGTATGTTAGCTACAATTTCATCTCTGGATACACTACTAAGTTCGTAAATTACTAGGAAGTGTATCATCACACCCACGGCCGGTATCAACCACATCGATGTGGAAGAATGCCGTCGACGGGGCATTAAAGTGGCCAAGTGCAATGGATCAACGTCGCTAGCCGTACCCGACCACGCATTAAGTTTGGTGAGCTTAAGCACGCAGCATATCTTGTACCTGACGGCTGATTCCAATTATTATGACTCAGTACTTTGCAGCAAGACGGAAGACCGTTTTACTACACAACGACATACGAACTTTAGATGAGGAGGGAAGGAACTCGTGGAAGCGTCAGCGCAGCATTGCCACGAAGCTTCAAACTGCAAACGGACACCCGCCTTGTTCCATCGATGAAGAGGTCGTTGGCATTATCGGTTATGGCTGCATCGGTGAGTTACTGTGGCAGATATGCAAGGAACGAGATGGAATCTGTCCTGCTCACCAACTTCATCAGGTAAACGCATCAGCGTCCTGTGCCAAGGCCTGGGGATGCAAGTGCTGGTAGCCGAAAGAAAAAACGGCACTTCAATCGAGAGAACTAGCGAGGAATCGGCCATTCGCCATCCATTCAAAGATGTCATCGCGCGAGCGACGGTTCTATTCATATGCTGCACCGCTAGTGCTGATACGAGATTCATGATTGACGCAGCGGAGCTCAGCACTATGCGACCCGAGATGGTGATGATTAATGTCTCGAGGGGAAACATCCTGAATACAGGTCAGTGCACCGCCGTTGCCTCAGACATTCTATGCTCCTATTCGTGACGCTACCGTCATCCTTGGCTCATCGTCTCCTATCCCACAGAAGGCCCTTTACCGCTGACCCTTGGGCCTCCCTTCTCTATTTTAATTCAAACTTCCCCTTCCCCACTCCATCATATTCCATCACAATATACGTCCAACACAATTGCTAACTACTTCGGTCTCTGGGCTTGTAGATGCTGTCGTCACGGCTCTCCGCAAATGTCTCATATCAGGCGTCGCCGTGGATGTCTTTGACCATGAGCCCGCTAGTACCCCCAAAGACAGCGCGTTTCTCGCAGAAGACACAAAAGATCTGAATCTCACATTCTCGCCACATGTGGGCTACTTCTCCACCAAGACTGTGGTCACAATGAAGATGATGGTCAAAAACCACATTAAGAGCTTCGTTGAGGGGAATTTCGACCGCTTCGTTGTTTGAACACGAGCAAAATGTTATTACTCAATCTCTTGTAACGCTTGGGAAATCATTCATGGAAATCTGGTTTTATACATCGGTACCCCTTCCCAATCCTGTAATATGTTCTACTTATCAGTCCACATTGTATGCTCCGGTATGTAGTCCTAGATTTAAATGAGCAGAGCTAAATGGGCAGTTATTGGACTGTTACGGCTGACTGTCTTCTGGCTATACCTATAGTTTAGGAACAATTTCCCACCAAAACTACATATTGCCTTGATAATCCTTCATAGCATTCTAAGACTTGGCCAGTAACCTGGAACTTGAAGCTATCACCAACCCTACCTACCCTACTCTACCTACCTGCCTTTAACTTCAACACTTCTACCTTGAGTTAACACTTTTACCAATAATAATTCCATGCGTCCTTAGCCTTATCGAGAAAATCCGCGCCTATAAAAAGGGATCGAAAATGAACCGAACAATAGAAGCGCTACATAAAGTGCTATATAAATTCAAGTGATATACAATGTGACTTACATGTCTGCAGATGACTAACAACTGGAGACAGCCAGATAACCGCCCATTTCGCCCTGCTCATTCAAACAACAGCTGATGAAGCGCTCCTTCCCACAAGAGTCGTACTATGAATGTATCTACAAATCAAAACATCTAGAATCTCGAACTTGCCCTCTGATTATGTCTTCTACGAGCAACGGTGTAACATCAGTAAAGATCACGCGCAAAAAGGATATCCCTTAACAACGTCCATACTACAATCCACATGATTCAGATCGTTGTACACGACACACTGAGGACGGCAGGGAGCGCAAATGTTTCCGTGTACACGTAGTAAAATGAACAACGCATGGCAGACATACTCCCACCGAATAAGAGAGCCAGAGAGAGAAATCCTGAAACTATTACATCAGAAGTCTTATTGAATCACAAAAGGCACACACACGAAACACAGGGAAGAAGACGCATAAGTTCATCATGCCACCAAATAGGTATGACACCAGCTATACATTAAAATTCAGAGAACGCTAGTGTACGTATACTATACACGCCTCCAGTAGGACAGGACCAAGAGTCTTCAGTTATCCGTAGCCACACGCAAACCGTGTACTCTCGCACATCTCATCTAACAGAATATGTGAGATGCAATCCCGTACCCGAAACTCCGGGCTGTCGTCCAGTTCCGGCCAAATCCACAACATCTATATCAGTATTCTCTCGTCAGAATACTGTATATATCTCGCTAACGGGCCATAGTAGACCGCAAGTAAAGATTCTCCATTCGCTATTCTTGAAGCGATTCTCGATAGGGTTCGCGTCGCTGCCAAGACTCCTTCAACGCTCGGGCTGCGCCAAGACTTTCCATCAATGAGACATATTAGCCTCGGGTATAGGATCTTCGTGCTTGGCAGTGCTGCCCTTGCCACGCCACGTGCTTACGGCGGGGATATCAGCCTGGTAGCGTTCCTCGTCTGTGCCATACGCGCGGGGTGTGAGCTTGATTAGGCAGTGAAGAGGAACGTTCATCCAAGGCGATAGAGACTGGTCCTTCTTCATGAAGTATGCATATATGCAACGTAGGATGGCTTGGTGCGTAACAATGAGAATATCCTCGGATCTTTCCAGCTCCATGATGATAGGCTCTAACCGAATCACTACGTCGCGATATGATTCACCCCCGCGGTACCGATAGTTGTACTTGTCTTCATCGCGCGCAACGAAGTCTTCTGGGTACACATCTTTTATCTCTTGATACGTCATACCATCGCATACACCCGCATCTAATTCGTCTAAGGCTTTCCACTGTAATTGGTTATAGTTCTCTGGTAAGAAACGTGCCGTTGCTATGGTTCTCTTTAGTGTCGACGTCCATACGGTAAGAGGTCGGTTATCCTGTGAGTATGTTAGTCTGGATTCAACCATACTGGCCGGAACAATGGCCGCAATACGAAGCATGGAACTTACACCGACAGATTTCCGTACAAGCTCCGGTAATTTACTGGCGTATTGGTGTCCTCTTGGCGATAAGTCCGCGTCACCACCGATCCGACCTGATAGATTGTACATAGATTCACCATGTCTCGACAACCAAACAGATCGGGGGCGGATATGTAAATTCATGAGGTAGTAGACGACCCGGCTCTGTAAGTAGTCCTGAATGCGGTTGATAATCACTTGACTACCAACATCCATCATTTTCAGGTATGTGTAGTGGCTCTCGTCTCCGTCCCCGTCTATTGTCTTGTAGACTTTTTCGTAGTGTTTAATGCGGTTGCGGAAGTCAAGGGCGGCTTCTTCGGGGTCTTGGCCCTGGTAGTCAGGGCTCGTGGTCTTAACATCACGAATGTTGGCCATAATTAGCTCCTCATTATCGCATTTCGACTCGACGAACAGGACTTCGATGCCCTCCCGTGCGCACATATTTGAAACCCATTTACGCCTGTCTTTGGTCGAGTTGGTAGCGTCTAATATTCCAATTACGCCACCTTCCCGGAACCAACCCAGCATATCGGCAAAGGCTGCCTCAGCTGCGGCACGACGTCTACGTTCACCCTCGGCGTTGGCAGTGTCGAAAAAGTCGGCTGACGGTTGAGGGGCGTCATTACGGCGGTAGTTTCCCACATTAAAGGTTTTGGAGGGTATTGAGAGCCATGTCAAGTAGCGTTGGGCTGCAACGATTGATTACAGGTCAGCCATGGCGCTCTAGTTCATGTAGCAGGCGAGTGATAAAGAATGTAGGGAGAAAGAGGTGTAAGAGTAGGAGTAGGGATATTCAAATACCTCTCTGTGCAATGTAGCTCTTCCCACGAGCAGGCAACCCGACCATTACGACACAAATCTTGGTGTCCTCCACCTGGACTCCACGGCCATTAGTTTTGGGTGTCATATTTGCTAGTGACCCAGCACATGCATAGATCTATGTGTGGAAAGCTGTAAAATAGTGGCGCGAAGGGTCGAACGCGTTGACAAGCTGCGAGAACGACGAGCGCCAAAATTGGGTAGAGATAGCATGCAAAATGAACCGTCAAGTAGTTGTTCTACTTAGGAATGCTTGAGTGGAATGAAAAGAAGAGAAAGAAGCCTGGGGACTTGGTGGTTGTGGTGATGGTTTGGACAAGGCCAAAAGCATTAAACCAAGCAAAGGAACTCCAGCCGAACTGACGGGATTGTTCACGGCAGGTGAGATGGGTCAAGGGACAAAACAATAGGGAAGAGGAGCAGGAGCACGATATTACAATTAGGCAATAGTATCTCGTGCAGGCCAGACAGGTGTCGCGGTCAGTGGTTGGTGGTGGTGGTGATTTGTGATTTGGAGGAAGCGGGAGACAATGGACAACGGCATCGGCCAGTGCCGGGGCAGGAATACGGTTCGGGAAGATTGAGAAAAGTTGATGCAAGGGATTCCGTCACCACCCGGGGATGGGAGGGGCGCCCCTCTTGTCAATCCCTGCAGGTGCTGAAGTGGGTTGCGCAGGTCTGCGTAGGCACTACCGTACAGCGGGTAGCTACCTAGAATACGTACCACTAGCCTTTTGCTAGGGGCACCTACTCGCCTACGCATAGTGGACCGCTAATGCCGAGGGTTGCTCCAGCGATGAAAACCCGGGCCTTGGGATCGCGGCAACGGATCGCCTGAGCCTGTCGAGCCTGTGAGAGCAGCGCACTACCGCATGTTGTGATCTGCGTGGTACTTGCACTGAAGACAAGTCCATGGAGCGTTACCTAGGTACTGTCTTGTCTTGGGCCATGGAGGGGAAGAATATCGCGGCACGGCAGCTGAGACAGCGCGAGCTCGGCTTGCCCAATTTGAATCAGCGGCACGAGACCATTCGAGTCGACAAGTAAACTCAACTCTCTTACGGTAGCTATTGTAGGTTTGATAATAATTATCCGATCTCCTTTTTCCGACAGCTGCATGATCCCATTTGGAGCTGAGGTACGGTACCGTACTACTGTATGGTTTGGAGATGCGGTCCACACTCCCTCTCAGTCTAGCAGCCTAGACGCAGGAACCGGCTGGTGTCGACGGCCCATTATTGTCCATGGTCCATGGAGCACAAGACAAGCAGCAAATAGGACCTTGCCGGCTCAACTGGAAGAAAGGTAAATTGGCCACCATCCAGTCATTCCGTCGACCGGCGGCAGTGTCCAGCATCAAAGCTAAGCAGAGCTCATGGTCACAATACATGGAATATTGAACCAGGCGAGAGCAGCCAAGTACCAAGCTGAAGCCTCGTTTTGTGCTCGATCACAAGGACCCGAAGCTGACCCATGCTGGGGCGGTCAGACGGGTAGTCTAGACTCAAGGCCCAGGCTGCGGCAGCGATGCGGCGGGCCCGGATCAACGGTTCACTGGATGCTGGGGAAAGGGAGAAAACCACCTCAAATGGCATGGTGTGGTAACAGACAACTCTCTTGACGTTCGATTTCCCATCACACCTACACACATTGTCACTGACACTCGTCGTGAAGAGGCTTAGCGTGCTTCACCGCTACACTAGCATCGCAGAGTTAGTCAGATCACTTGACCCTCGACTCCTAGCCTACTGTATGTAGCGGATGGGGTCATTACCTGATGCCCACGACCCTGGCTTAGAATCTCCACTGGGGATAGGGATTAGGGATATCGTATGCGCGTGTGAAAATGGGACCGGGACCTTTGAGATGAGGAGAGGACGCAAGCATAGCCATGGGCTGCAGAGATGCTCGAAGTGTGACATACCTTTGAGAAACTCCAGGTTTGGCCCCGCGGTCGCCGGTGCCCACCAGCGAAAACACCCTGCATCGTGGACCGCTTCTATTATCCAATATTGATATGGCTATTCTTGGCCCTGGTTTCCTTTGTCAAGACAGCGATATTGTCATCGCCGTCTGCGGGTGTTGGGACCACTGTTGTTCTCTTCATGCGCGATATTTGGGAGTTCAGTCGTTGTCTTAGCCCACCACAAGGCCGGGGTGTTCGGGTTCTTCACCGGCACACAAGATAGCCCCAAAGATCGCAAGTCCCGCTTGACCCAGTTTCTGATACTTGCACGACACAAAGACTTCTCCGGTTTCGATTGCTGGAATAGGAATGTTGATGTTCGAATACCCTCATAGCATGCGTTGTGCATACACTAACGTATGAAGGGATGTGGAGCAGCGTAGGTCCCTACAGATAGACACTGCAGTCGGTACATAGGAGGAGATATTCGGGGATACGGAATACGAATGTTTTTTGACTTCTCAGCAAGAACACGGATTAAGATGACAAGAAGTCTTCATCAAACATCAACTAGGCGAATGCCATGATTATCTGATGTTCACAAATGCCAGCCAAACAAGCTTAGGGCCAGCCGCACGATAAGGTGAATGGCCACCCCTGTACGTCGAGAGATCTTGGTGCCTGTATCTCGATCGCCGTCATGCTGCAAGGTTTGGAATAGCACCTACATCGCCCAGCGTAAGCAGTCTTAGATATCGCAACACTGCAAACAGATAAGGGATCCATCCCTCCATGTGTGTCTACAACCAGTCAGTATTGGCCAATACCTCAGCCAATGAATAATAAACGACATGGGGGAGCCGCATCTTGGTTATCATTCCCATATGCGCCCGTCAACAACATTGTAGCGGTGAGGATAACATAAGCCTGCCTACTACCTAGGTATTTAGTTTGCTTACTCAGTCTGTGATGCCGGCGCTGTCGGCCGCTGGATTACACTGCCTACGGAGTATGTATGAAGGGCAGAGCAACGAGAAGGGAAGAAAGATTAGACTAGCATAATTCGGAATCCCTCTTAAGACGCCATCCTTACAGGGTTTCGAAACAGTATAACTAATTTGTCGTGTATAGCCTTATTGGAGGGTCCCGATAAGAGGAAGGGTGTAAGTAATCCTGTGGTGACGTCACGAACGAGATCACCTTCGCCGACACCAGTTATCTACATCTATTGCTGTCTGAGAACCGATCTGCTTCTCGTATGATACGTCGATAAATATGACAATCGAATTGTCTTTTGAGCTTTGACAGAATCGTTCTTACACACAAGATGTATCTAATATCCATACAGCTCATGTTCCAATCCGACACAAGAGTATGGTAGCAGGTCATTTTAAGGTAAGTCCTACCAGCCAGAAACCCAATGCTCAGGGCATGGGCTAAAGTAGCGTATGCGCTGCAGGCCACTACCAGGAAGCTTAGCACCTGGGTGGCAGCCTATTGGACCTTGTAGATTACTTCATGACAATCGCCGAGATTGAATCCCGATATGGCCTCCAAGTGTAGAGAACCCATGTGTAAGGGTCATAAGAGGAGTACATAGTATACCGAGGCACACATTAAAAACATGATATCTGGGCATCTTGCATTTAGACACAGCTTGGTAACAAACGTTAGGAAAGGCAAGATACTGCATGGGCGACATATGAACGACCTCCCTAGGCGCAAGCGACAGCTTCTCGACGCGCAGTCTCCAATCGGCAATCTAGATCTACTGTAGATACACTAGCCTAGATCGCCGGCCTAGGTAGAATCCAAGATCTAAAGAGCCAAATTTCAAGCACGACAAGATGGCGTCCACGTCGTTACACATGATGACAAAACTGTCACCTTACATTTACACCTATGAGCCGAGCGAGACACGCGCGCCGTCAACGTCAGGCCCCAAGCTCGTTCTGTTCGCCGCCTGGATGGACGCACAAGACGTCCACATATCCAAGTACCTCGCACGCTATCAGACGATGTATCCCGGCGCCACGATTCTCCTCATCAAGTTCGTCATGCGAGAAGCCATGCTCTCCTCCGTCGCGACCAGCGCCGTGCAGCCGGCAGTATGGCACATACGGTCCATGATAAGCGCCGGCGCTCTCTCCGCCGCTCCCGAGCGCCCCGAGATCTTGGCCCACGTCTTCTCCAACGGCGGCGCCACCACGATGCAGGAAGTCTGCACCAGCTACGCCCAGCTCTTCGGGCAGCCATTTCCCTTACACTGCACCGTATTCGACTCCTGTCCGGGCTTGCACGCCTTTTCCAAATCGTACAACGCCCTCATCGCGAGTTTCCCGAACAGTCTGACTCGCGTCTTCCTTGCCCCTTTCATCATGCTCATGATTTTCCTGGCTTGGCTGTGGCATATTCCTCTCCGCTTCATCTCTGGCGAAGATTTCCTCACAAAGAACGCGAGAGTCTTGAATGATCCCAAGCTAGTGAACCAGACAAACAGGACTTATATCTACGGGCCGGCAGATACCATGGTAGATTGGCGCCATATCGAAAGGCATGCCGACGAAGCTGCATCGAAAGGCTTTGTCGTGCGGAAAGAAATCTTTGAGGATAGTCCGCATGTCACTCATATGAGAACGGACACTCAACGGTATTGGTCTATTGTTAATGAGACTTGGAAGGAAGCTATCTCTGCATGATAAGGTGTTGTTTATATAGAGTAATAAATTTAGATGTGTCTTAGAAATTGTCTGCGAAGCATAGATACATCCTAAGAATTCATATATCTCGGCCCAGGAGACTCGTACGACCCCTGACACATAAGCACAAAAGATCATTTCGCAAATTATCCCACATGCTAATAGTACATCCCACCCTGAGGAAGAATGGAAGAAGAGAAGAAGAGAAGCTCTAAAGCATAACAAATCATTCTATCGAGAAAAGCGAGAATCCCAGATTCATACACCAGCCTCTAGTATAGATCTAGTAGCGTTGAAGAAAGGAATCTAAATGAGATATAGACCGACCAGTAGAGATGGCTACCCTGAAAACTCCAAGGCAGCAAAGCAATCGGATCCCCCGCCCGCACAAGCACTACAGCGGTGCATATTGCCGGGTTTATAACGAAGATAGAACCGCCGTGTAGCCATCGAGGGATTAAATGATAAAAAAGCATAACCAAATTAAAGCAAAGGTATAATCGAAACTTAACCAACATAGAACTAGCACAAAAAAGAAATTGTGACTAGGTAGGGAGCGAAGGTGGCAAGCACAGGCAGATGGAAGAACCAGTCCAGCCTTTAAGGGAAGAGTCGCCAAACAAGAGAAAATGGCTGTGGAGATACCTTCAAGCGCCTGGTTCTGACAGTAATGATGAATTTTCCTTGACATATATTTTTGTCGAATATTTGCTGGACATTGTTATGAGGGAACTTCGGAAGCAGATTGTCGACGGATTCAACGCCATCCCTATTCATGACCTTTTTCAGCGCTAAGCGGAGTGGATTCATAATCGAATTACCTGGAGGATCAGTCCAGACCAGCGTGACCTTGAAAGCGGTATGTTCTGATTTAACTAACACCTCGGTGGTAAACTCAAGAGTGTTGTTGTCGAGTATGGCCTCGGACATTCCCGTGCCCTCGGCGCCACAGACGATTGGTAGGGAATGTTCCAAATCGGCGCGTCCGAAACCCGAATGGTTATCGGGGTGAGGCTCGGGGGATAAAAGTTCGGCCCCATTGACGAGGAGCGCCTTGACCAGCGAAGCGCTCGGGGAACGAATATGCTGGTGGTCGATGAGGGCTTCGCGTAAATCGGCCGCACAGCCTGCAAGCAGAGCTACGGCCATGCTAGTCCCTGACATATAACACCACTCGTCATCATGAGGAGCGGGCCACTGAGGTGGGTTAGTGGAGGGCCTCCCGAGAGAGTTCCTTGACAAGATTAGAGTGCCTGGCGCTACGATGTCAGGCTTGATAAGTGCACGATCATTGTCATCTCGCCTTGTAGGACCGCGGCTGCTAAAAGGAGCGACACGTGAGCGGTGCTGCGCCGTGAACTGGGAGGCGATATTTACAGGGAGACCACTTACGACATCTCCGTATTTGACAGACATACCCGGTCGTTCGCTTTCACAGGCACCAACGGTGATGCAATTCTTCGCGGCGGGATAGGCTCCGATCTGTCCGAACACAACTTCCCCATTCTGGTCGTAGGAGCCTCTGTTCCCGGCAGCGAAACATATTATCATGTCTTTGTGGTTCCATACCCAAGAATCGATTGTTCTTGCGCCGTCGGTATACCCATAGTGGTACGTATCCTTCGTTTCTGGTCCCCAAGCATTAACATGCACACGTACATTGTAAGAAAAGTATGGGCGAGTAAAGAGTTTCTCGAGATCATCCGGTAAAACAATCTCCGCCTTTGTCGTCTCCTCTGGCGTCTCAATCTCAGGACGCCATAAAGACTGGACCATCAAAGTGGCCTGAGGCGCGGTTCCCATAATGGGATTACCGCGATACGTGCCGTTTCCGACAACCGAGCCGCAGACATGAGTACCATGGCCGCATTCGTCCACGGCTGTTCCGTGGAATGTTTGCCAGGCTATGACGCGATCACTAAACGCGCTGTGGATTGTCGATGCTGACCCTAGATCAAGCCCCGTATCCGCGACTGCGATAGCTTGCTGGTGTCTTTGGTATGTTGCCTGTTGTGATGTGTCAGGTTGTGGCTGGGGATCGCATCCCAATATCAATCGGGCGTGGTCATTCATTGGCACGATTTTCGGATCTTCTTCAATTCGGCGAACCTCGTCGATATTTGCTATTTCGTGTAGACGTGAGCTGTTGACGGCGAGGCGAGCGCCGTGTGAAAAAAAGCCAATCTTCTTTCGATGCACATGTGATGCCGTTGCAATACGATCCTGAAGAATTTCGGATGATGTGTCTATATCATCGTGAAAGATGATACGGACTTCAATTTTCCTGTCGATGGAGGCAGCTAGCAACTTCGAGAGATTTATATCGAGTTTGAGTTGTGAACGGTAGACATCCACATAGACAATAGGCTCTATTTCACGAAGTCTGTCCAGGTTGGTCCCTAGATATCTGCACAAGTATGTGTTCTTACAGACGTAGTCATGGAACTCAAGACCCTCTTGGCTTAAATCCTCTTTATCTGACTCATCGAGGGGAAATCGGCACTGAACTATGAGGTAGCTGGTCTTCGAAGTATTGGCAACTGGCTTGATTGCATCATCGTGGCGATTTCCGTTGACTGAAATGCCGAACAAGGGGGTCATAATTGCCTACAAGGTCATTTCAGTTAGCTACGGTTCCGAAAGTATGAACAGGAGTAAACGTTGAACATATAGACATGTGTGAACGTACAGGTTTAGGGTAATTTATGTTGTCGCCAAGTAATAAACGTGCCATGTTTCCCGCTTTTGCAAAGTTGAATGGGGTGGCACCGCAATGATCTGAAGTTGAGCTATCTGCACCAGATTCGAGGAGCAGCTTCGCAACTGCAAAGCTCTGCCGCTCAACAGCTTTGTGGAGTGGCGTTGATCCATCTGTATTCTTAGCGTTTGGATCGGCCCAGTTGTCCAGAAGCTCTTGAGCTATTTTGAAGTATTCATTCCCAGGCTGTGTTGCATAATGAAGCGCGGTAGAGTTGTCTGGCGATCTAGCGTCTGGACTTGCGCCGTAATCCAAAAGCAGGGAAGCTAATTCGAAACAGCCTGTGTGAGCTGCTACATGGAGGGGTGTCCAGCCGGAGTCACTCTTGAAGTTCGAGTCCACACCCTCCTCCACCAAAAGTTTATAAGCTTTATCGAAGTTTCCGCGCTGGACAGCCTGGAGCAGGCTTTTCTGTTTTCGTAGTTTATCTTCTCGTTGTGTGTCCATCTAAGTGGCTGATAAATGAAATTCGTTAGTCTGAAGTTATACAAGATATACATAGAGCATAAACAGCAATAATCAGTTACTACTCACTGAGAATCGACGGTTATTACTCTCAAGATATGAGAAGTATAACCATATGGGTATGTTGATACCTTTAGAGTATTATAAACAAGATTAGTTTGAAATAGCCTTGGCGTGATTATAGACAATGATGATGAATTATGACTTACTAAGAATGAACCGATGCCTCAGTGTATCAGTATATAGTACTGTAAGTCTATACTTGCTGGGAAGAGACAGTATTGTTTCTGGCTGAAAAGTATTGGTAATTGCTGTTTGGGTTGGTGATCAGTTGTCAGTGTTGTGGAAAGGTGAGTAATGATAATACAAAATGAAGGGGGAGTAGGGGCCATAAGTAGGCAGAGGGTTAAACCTCTCACAAACAACTCTTTCCGGGGAGTAATACAGTGCAACCAGCTGCCCAGGTGATCTGGCGCCTGATAATGCCTTTCTTGTGTGACTACTGTGACATGCAAACATTGCGGTGATTTGCTTCCCTTGGCGGCCGCCTCCGTTCTGTGACTCAAGTTGTGTTAGAAACCCACCTATGTATCACCTACACACCGAATCACCGTCTCGTTCTTCCCATTTCATTATTCCCATTAGGCGCTTCCCTAGACATCCGCCCGTCAATTCACTCTTTATAACGTGATTCTTTCGTTTACTAGAGCGGCGTCGTCTTCTTCAACAGCACAGGGATGGATTCTTGGTTGCGTCGTAATATGTGAGCATGTGAAGACAGGGAAAGGTATTGATTTTGCTCCCCGAAAGAAATTGGCACGGGAATTTTGATCAGTAACATTATTTCTACGATTTGTCTATTTTCGGGGGGGAGTGGTGAGGCTAGGTCTCACAATGGACGCACTGATTGGCGTGTGCACCCTTTTAGGGCCGGCTAAGCGAAGATGTCATTGAATGAAAGTGTATTACTGGTATTCCACGGCTCATTATTAGCATTTCGGAACATGCAATAAAATTATTTTTCAAAAATTTCCCGGTCTTTAAGATGTCGGTACCATCTAACATACGAAAACACTCGGCAATCTATACTTGATACACCGTAACTAATTAAACCAGAAATGGTGTCCGATGTGAACTCAGCCGAGATGCCTTATCGCCCTTAGTCTAGCTCCTCGTCCTCATTACGGCAGGAAAGGCGAAAGTCTTTTGTCATGTGGGCAAGGAATGTTTTGTGCGCCCTATGGCGACGATGATTGTGGTCATGCTGTTTCGTGTATTGAGAAAGTAGGGGTCGACAGGATCTGAGAGTAGACGTCACAAGACGCTAATATCCCTTGAGTTCTAGCTGTCTCTAAAGCTAGCACGTTCTCTCATGTCAATACTATCCTCAAGGAGAACATACGTGTGCCTACTACCACACCCTTGAAACTGCTGGCATGCATTTCTAGGTTAGATGGTTGTACTCCTATGTGTTAATTCAGCAGTCGTATATCACCCCTCAATAGGGGCATCCCTGATAGACACTCGACGTGATCCTCCCCAAGTGCTAGCCAATAGACAATCATAGGAAAGTACTAGTAATAGCTGTCGCACATTAATTAGATATGAGGTGGATTTATCAAGAAAAGCATGGCAGTATTGAATAATCTTTTCCCTGTAGGTAGATATCATGAAGAGGGAGCACAGCACTTTGGATATTTTTTTGACCCGTGTATTTGTCGAGACAAAAACGGACGTCTTCTAGTAGCGAAGCATGAGCATGGTGGAAGTGACACTTCGCTCTCTCCCTTCTCACATGATAATGTTGTGACCATGGCCTTTCACATGGCTGCCCTAATGATATCTTGGTCATGAGATCGCTTCCTCATGCCCAATCCAGTGTGGGCGTAACCACATTATTGACATCCCCCCGCAACTCTCACTGTCCTGGTGTCAGGCCACTTGGCCCATACTATGAACTGATTAAGGGGCCTTTACACATTGTATAACCATTTATTGGATCCGATAGTGATCCAGGGATACTTACGATACCTGTCGGCAGAAACAGCCCGAGCAAACAAAGAATTCGCCTCTTGTAACACTTCGCGGGTGCCATCAAAACAACTGTAGATAACCACCATGACCCAATACTCATGTTTCCTTCTCTCCACGTCTCCATAGATCAACTTCTACCAATAGAAACTCCTCGTGAAGTTGGGTACTTCGCTCCATGAATCTCGGATGCACAATTACCACTGGCGGTGTAACAAATCAACCCCCATTAACTCGCACTACTGGGAGGCAAATACGCGTATAGCAAGCAGTGCGGGTAACCAATGCAGCTATCCGCAAGCTTGTCACACCTCTTACGTTACTCATCTCGCCTAGCCACGATGACAGGGTAATGCGTATCCAGGGGCTGAGAGAAAGCCAGCTGAGTAATAGAGTAATGGTAGGCAGAGTGGTGACACTAATGGGAGCGATTGATTCTATGTAGACGTCACCCACACGGCGAAGACTTTCAAATCCTGAGCAGGATGAGCTCCCTGATAAATATTAGTACAACAACAGATGGAATTCCCTATCAACTTGATACAACCTACAAGTTCAGCATGTCTGTAGTAGACATACTCATATGTTCAATTCTGTAATATATTTGAAACACAGAACATTCTTTGATAATGAGATGGTGTTGGTGACTTCATGGCCGCGCGGCATCAACCCCATGTCCTTCTTGCTGGTTTGACTTAGTAATACAAGTGCTACTTCTGAATAGCACGCATGAGGACCTTAGAAAAGGGAGAGTATTTTCTGATTCAGAACATTTATAATTCATCATGATTCCAGAGTAGAGTTTTCCCCAAAGGCTTCAACAGTAACCGAGAGTCAACTACCTAGCTTGCCCCACGAGTTTTCAACCGAATATCAAGCTTATCAGTTCAGAGTTTACGTCTAATACTATCCACAAGTTAGTATTATATGAACTTTCTCAGAAACACTAGGTTAACTTATATGATCTCCTAGTCCAAAGCCTGCACACCAATTACGATGTGTTGGTTTGTCATTTTACAATGGAGCTGTGGCGCCGAGAGAACGATGATCAGACGCTGCGCTGCTTGTCCCTCTCCTCTCGATACAAAAAAAGATGCGCGATACCAGGGCAGCACATCATGCAGCAACTATAACCCGCTGCTCCTGCCAGAGATGGAATATGTCTACAACCGGTGTAACTTCCCTGTCTGCCTGAGATGTAATCCGCTCGAGTGAGGTGTGACAATCCACTGGCCTCGCTATACAGCATTGAGTTTCATAACCAAAGCTGGCTTGAGAATCAGACATGTCGGAAAATGCACGATCTGTGAATCAATCACTTCGTATTAGTTCGCTATTTCTCTGATTAACCGTCTCATAACGAGCTTAGTCAAGTACTAAGTTTCTATTGAAGATTCGAGATATTTCAGGATGCTACTTGATACCGGGAGTCAGTTATGGCGACCGAAGTTGTTCTGTAATGATCTACCAGATATGGTAGATTTTTCTATAGGACGCAATTGACTACTCATCTGTTGATGCTACGTCACTCGAAAGGGCTCCTTTGTGAGAGATTCCAGGCCATGACCTTGTGGTAGAAGTATAACATCATAGAATAGTGTCTTAAACTCACTCTCTTGGTAAACGAGATCTCCTAATATTGGTTGAGGTCGCTGCATTGTATGTTCATGATATCGCCTTGTGTAATTATTCCGAGGAAAGTCTACCCGATTCATGAGTTTTTCATGGACCGTTCACAGAGACCTACAACACACAGCCGAAAGTGCCGGCAGGTGGAGCTAAACACTGATTCTACCGCTATTCGTAAGCAGGTATAAAGTTTCTTAGTATTCCTTCATTGTCACCATGAGAAGACCTGAGTTTAAAGAGGACATTTAATTATTACTCTTCTCAAACAGCTTAATACGGTCTACGTGAAAAAGGACATCAGAGCATGTTTTCGGGCCCCCGTTTCATTTAATTCGGCGTATTATATTCACCTGTTTGTTATATATTTACCTTCGAAACAGTGAGAGATGCATTGCGATGATTTGGGCTGATCTTTCTGACTAATGTGTAACTCGCAGTCACCTGTATTTATCTTCAGGGGTAGTCCGGCTCAAAGTACAGTCTCTCTATTCCCTAGCACTACCATAACATAACTGACGGATAAAAAAACAGCCTTTCCGACTCAACGTTCCACCTCTTGATACATCGCGTTAAACCCCGTATACAGTATCATCCCATCCTCAGTATCGACGGCGCCTGCGCCAAGACCTGCGTTATTAGAATCTAGCTCCGCCGGTTACTCCCTACCATCCGCCTCGTAGATCTTATGCGTCGCATTAAGCTCGTATCGTCTTGTCACATTCACCTCGTGCCTCTGGGTGTCCATTTTTTGCCTTTTGAAATCGATCATCTATGGTCGATTTATCCGTTTTCTCGGAAACCAAAAACCCCGGTTCTTCAAGACTGGTAGCGTCTTATCATGTCCCTGCCACGCAGCTTGGAATATCCTGAAGCTCAGCAGCCCCGTCATTAACGAGCTGATTCCTATAACCATTGCAAGAGAGACCGGGATTATGATCGTCGGAGATACTCATCGATAGACGGCAAAACAGGGGGGTTTAGGTCGCGCAGTGATGGGTCTCATATTGGAGCAAGGGTCAAAGAGTCTGATGATTGACTGGTTTGCGAGGTGCTAGGCGCCTGTGATGCACTAGGTACTGGGCTATCCGGTGGTGTGCTGGACGGCTCAACATTGTAATAAATCGAATCTTGCGACACTCTGAGAGGAAACGGTAGACCATGTGGTTGCACGTCGGGTCTATGTAAGGAGGCTTCAACATGTGTTAAAAGCAGGCCAACTTTTTCTCTTATGATATTAGAAACATTGTCCCCTTTATAGTTATAGATATAACCTGGCACGTCTAAATTGAGCTCCCTCAGTAGCGGTGTCAAGTCTCTCGATCCTGTGTGTGCCTCTGCATAATAGTCCCGGACGGTTTTTAGCTGCTCTAAAGTCCATTTGGGTACTGTAGTTCGCGTGATAGTTCGTGTTTTGTGGCCAAGAACGACTCTCCATGTTTCTTGGCTAGCCATTCTCATTCCCTCTAGTTTTGATACGACTTTGAGACTGTAATACTGCAATGCAATTAATGTTATCCGATAGCAAGTGGGTGGGATGTAGGCTGGGGTCCCTCATGGACGATCTCCGTTCCTATCATCATGGTAAAGGGTGAATACGTCAAGTCTCTGGGTGCTTCGTGGAAAGCAGTCGTATTGTATTGTGCCTTCAGTCCGCGGCACACAGTTTGAGGGAAATAGCGAGTGAAGAAAGAGCTGGCAAACGTACCTATCTCACCCATAATTGCCCGCATCGTAGCAACTGCACCGACCACGAAAGTCCGCAGCCATCGCGACAAGACAGTTCGAATGATACAGAAGGTAAGATTGGCTAGGCCAAGTGCTTTCGGCGTTTTCTGATCTACGTTGAGACTTCAGCATACACTTAATTATTCGGCATCAAAGACCTGGAAGGAGCCGTAGAGTATCTGGGCTCCGCATCAGATTTCATCGAAACTACCTCTCTCTTCCCCATTACCTACTTGCCCGGGCATGCATGCAATTATCTACCTGCAGCATCGGCGGCAGGATGCCGCTCCGTAGATAGCAAGATTATCGAGATCAAGCAGTTCAGATTGATACTGCTTCCCAAGCTCAACCCGGGTACTGCAACATAGCTCAGCGCACCGCTAAGCCTCGAGTAGTAGAAGCTCATGCTCTACGCCTTAATACACGTTTAACCAATTCCATAGTGCTAGCTGTATCATAAAAGTATATCTATAATACCTAATCTTTGAATTACATTGGGTTTTCTTGGTCTTGTAAGACTAAAAGAAAAGAGACCTTCTCTTGGAAGAGAACACGAGGTCTTCGGAGGTATGCCGATTGTATTTATGTACCAAATCCCCACTGTATGTATCAATCATGTCACCCTAACCCCTACACCAAGTGTCATTCCTAAAACAACTTTGAGCTTACTTTAATCTATAGATTCTTGTAAGAAGACCAATGGGCCTAGGCAGAGCCAAGCCTGAGCAAAAAGTCAATCGCGCTAAGCCTAATCTGTCGTGCGCATCACAAGTGGTAAAACCTGTTTTGTTTCCTTTGCTCCTGGTGAAGTCGCGCTTCCGCTTTCTTCCCAGGGACCGTTCTTCCGGGACCAATATATGATCGCGCCAGGCCTCTCTGATAAGATCCAAAGCAACGGCCCTCGTCGCCATAGCATCCCGAACTATAGCGTCCCCGGGAACGACTGCTCGGCCTAGCATACGGCGGTGTCGCGTTATTAAGGGGCCCCCTGTCAGAGTTAGTAACGAACATATATACAAAAGAACAGCATACAAACCTTCACAACTCGGGGAGCCGACGCGGCGACGGTTCTTTTTTTTTTTTTGGGGGGGGGGGGGGGGGGGGGGGGGTGGGTTAGCATTAATGAAAGCGTCGAAACAGACAGGATAAAAATAAAAATAGGGCATAAAAATATCAAAAACAAAATAAAG